AGTGTATCAGAGTAAAAGAGGCAGAGTACGTAGGACATAGCCTGGGTGACATCCGATTTGTAACAGCAAACCTGATTTATTCAGGGCTGTCGTTACAAATCGGATGGCACCCAGGCTAAGTAAGAGACTGAGTCTAGAAGAAGTTTTCCAAGGTTGAAAGAATGAAGTGGGTGTTAAAAGGATAGAATTGTAGGCAAGTGTGTTGTGTTGAAATGGTTGTGTTGCTACACAAATAAACTACTAGTATACTCACAATCCCAGGGCTGCTAGTGTCTTTTCTCACTGCTTTGCTGGCCAAAGTCTCGTCCTTCCTTCCATGGGCAATCTACTATCAGTCATGCGGAGACAGAAAAACAAAAAGTCAGTATAGAGAAATTATTCACCTCAAATGGATTTGCAAAGTGTTAGGTTCAAATTTGTTTTTAAATGTGTTACTTGTAACTAGAGCTGTGTACCGGTACGCAGTACCGATACTGTACCGGAAAAATTGATTAGGTACAGGTCCAAAATACCTAATCCCTCAGTACCGGTACTGTACCTAAACAATTTCACACCAATTTTATGCCTATTTGTGACCTCAAATGTGTAAATAGCTGGTCCACAATGGGTCCCTGTGTAAGGACAGTGTGTTCATGAAAACAAAAACAACTTAGTTTTGCCTATATCTTATCTGAGCATTCGCCATAAACAAAGAATAAACCTTAACTATCAAGTTTATTTATGTTTTTTTGTTATTGAAGGAGTTCAGAAGAGCATATAAATTGGTCGAATTGTTCAGGTACAGGTTCAGGTCCGGACCTGTACCTAAACCTGTGTACCTGTACCTGTACCTGTACCTAAAATTTGTTTAGGTACACAGCTCTACTTGTAACATGTTATGCCTCGGGGTTCTTAACACATACGTGAGGAAAATAATGTACAAAATGAATAAGAAACTGGTGGACGTCCCAACTACTAAGTACCTGCAATATCTGAGCCCAGAAAAGAACAAGAAATAGCCATGATGCCTTCAAGTACCAGAGTTATCAACCAAGGATTGAGGTGTTCAAGAATTATTCCTTTAAAAATCTTTCCCAGAAGTATCGCAGAGTGGAACTCACTGTCACCAAGTACAGTAGGGGAATTATCATTAGATAGCTTTAAACAATGTCTAGAGTTAGCAGTTCAAGGGTTAGGTGTAACAAATTGATCAGTGTGATATAGCCAGCTGCCGCATGCTTGCGATGCTGGTGTGTTATGCCGAAAGGCGGTTATACTGGCTATACAGATACAGAATAAAAACTCTCACCTGAAAAGTCTTCTTCATTGAGTTTTGGGTCCTTATCTGGTCTGGTGTGGACAGAAGCTGGCCATCATCACAGGTTTCTCCCAGGAACATCAGGACACACCTTGAACCGTGTAAAGAATAATTAGTGTGATGCCCAAATACATTTCCAGTGACTAACTATAAAAGATAAACTTAAGGTAAGATCACACAACTGAATTTAATTCTTTGCTTGTTTAGATGTAGAAAGTGTTTGGCTACGGAAAGGTCTTTTATGTCATACATGTAGCTAGTGTGTTGTGCCTGGGGGTTCTCAAGAAATCAGAAAAAAAAGTAAGTCGAAAGGCATTGTCTCACCTGTACAAACTCTTCAAGTCTTCAAGTCCAGACAGCTTTGCTGAGCCTTCATTTTGTCTGGTGTGGACAGAAGTCAACCATCATCACAGGTTTCTCCCAGCCAGGACAGGAACATCAGGACTGCTGACGCTAATTATAAAAGAACAATTGATGCCAGGTATGAATGGGCAACTAGCTACCAGGTAAAGAGGAACTCTTGTATGTGACCTTTTACTTTGCCTCTTCCTACAAATGTTGACAGGTGCTCAAAGATAAAGCACAATGTGCTAGTCATTTACAAAGTTAAAGGGAACGATGTTTTGCTAGTTGTGTGTTATTCGAATAAAGTGTATGAGGCATAAGGAAAAACTGCTATAGTCAAACAAATCTTCTAAAGCATTGTTTCACCTGTGGATGTTGTTGTCATCTTGTGTCCCTAAAAATCACCCGATCTGGTTCACGCAATTCTTGACAGGAGTCCCCAATACTGCATCAGTCAGCAGCCACCTAACTATACAGACATTAGATGTTACACACTTGTCTCAAATAACATGAAGACTTCAAGGAAATAGAAGGTTGAATACAGAATTCAGATTTTTCTCATCTGATGCTCGATCCAATCTTCTCGTCAGGTTAAAGAATTCACCACTACTGCATCAGTCAGCAGCCACCTAACTATACAGACATAAGATGTTACACAGTCACACGCCTCAAATATCAGTGTAGATAGCAGTGTACTAGGTAAAATGAAGAATTCAGATTTTTCTCACCTGATATTCCTCTTGGGTCTTCAAATCATCTGGTCTGGTCCAATCTGTCTTGTCAGGTTCAGACAGGAGTCATCACTACTGCATCAGTCAGCAGCCACCTAACTATACAGACATTACAAGTTACACACTTGTCTCAAATAACACCAAATACATGCAGCTGTAGGAAAAATCCAGAATTCAGAATTTTCTCACCTGATATTGCTCTTGGGTCTTCAAAATCATCTTGCCTGTCCAATTTGTCTTGCCAGGTTCAGATTGTAGTCTTCACTAACTGCATCAGTCAGCAGCCACCTAACTATACAGACATTAGACATTACACACTTGTCTCAAATAACACCAAATAGTTATAGGTAAAATGCAGGATTCAGATTTCAGATTTTTCTCACCTTGCCCAATGCACCTACATGGTGCCTCTGTCAATCACAAGTCTCATCGCAGCAGTATACTAAACACCTGCACAGGTTGCTGACCCTCAGAGCACAGCTCACTACAGTGTTCTATGAAAAGAAGAAATAGTTTTAAGATGTCATCTGATTTTACATGTGCATGTGTGATTGTATATTTACATATTTGATTAATTTGGGGTAAGTCCCAATTCTATATCTAGTGTTGGAAGTTAAAGTTCAGTCTTTATTTCATATTTGATTAATGTTGTATAAGTACTATTTTAATGGCTAAAAATATGTTTTACATTGTTCTAAGACATGATATTAACCTCCGATAACATTTCAGCCACTAGGCATCACCAAATAAACCATTGATATCAGCTTGTCAAGAGTACATCGCAGAAACTTCCATAATAACACTGAACAAATCTTACCAACTATAGATTTAGACAGTTTTATCTTATAGGCACCCAAAACAATTTCAGGGGGATAAAACCTTCCATGTCAATTTTAATGGAGGAAGAACTATAACTAAATTACAAGCACGAGTTTGACAAACAATATACAGCTATATCTACTCGTTTTGTTCTTGTACCACAACGTTTTATCAAGGAGGTTCAAAAGGTTCCATGGTTTTATGAATCGTTACCAATGCTTACTCTCAATGCTGGCAATTAATGCACACACACACACACACACACCTTAAATTTCTTCAATTTAAAACAACTACTTCGACGAAAACTGTACCTACAGTTTTGTAATAGCCATAGAAAACGGCGATATAGCAACAATAAAAGAAATCAAACCCCGTAACATAAACTGAAACTTTATGTGGAAATTGTTGAATACATGGAATGCATGAAATGTTTTGAAAACAGCAATTGCGACCTTCCGATGTAGTCAACTGTAGTGTTTGCGCCACAAATACTTATGCCAAGGCATTACAATTACTGAATTACTCTAAACTGGAAACGAACAAGCTTTTAAATCATACATAACACATTGGAAATGATCATAAAGAACAAAAGTATGGTCAACTCGACTGCCGTTTCCAAACGTTTTGTATCGTATTCATTTTGGCGCCTTGAAGCTTTGGGGGAAGCCATCTTGTTTACGTGAGTTTTTGGCGGGATCATCAAAAATATTTAATTATGCACACCGGCACATTCCAACAGGTGATGGCACCGCGTGCAGATAAAGAAAAGGTTTTGGTCAATTTTTCAACAAATGCAACCTCGAAACGCTGACCAATAAGACATGCACGTACATTTAATACCATACAAGCGCACTAACGTTACACATTGAAAATGTTGTTGAAAACGCGGCATTTTGATAAACTTTTCAAAGCCTGTCTTAGAATTAGGAACGGTCGCTCTCTAATGCGAAAATACGTCCTTTCTTACGAAATATAACTTGACATGTTCGTACTATAGTTTCTAGGGAATACTATGTAATGTCATCGAAACAATTTGCTGGTTTACCTGCAACAATAAGCGAAGTCGTCTCCATACCACGCTGCTCTTCCCAACTATCTCGCCATTTTGTTTTCTTCTCCACAATTCGCCAGGTCAGGAAATCCGCATTTTCTCTTCAAAGAATCACAAGAACGGCCACGAATCCACAGGGAAAACTCCCAAACATTCTACTGCACACTTAGTAAAACATTCTACCGACAAAAACTCTAAAAAATACCGAGGAAGTTTTTAAAAAGTCAGCCCAGAGTATTCCCGTCGTACGAAATCGCCATTTTGAACGGGCGATACCAAGCTTGTTTTTACACAGGTGTGCAAAGCAGCCCTGTCTAATTAATGTGAAGCTGATAATCTAATTATGAACGACCAATGACGACCCGCCTCAGTGCTAGGCACTTATAATGGTGCTGAACGCCTTCCACACACAGGGAAACCTGTCCTTGGTGCTGAACGCCTTCCACACACAGGAAAATCAATTAGCAGTTTGGATAAATGATGAAAGTGATTTTAAAAGGAAGGCTTTGAGAAGGAGTATTGTAATAATCATTATTGCAAACATACAAAACGCATAACTTGTTCTCATACGCAGCTATATTGTATATATCGGCCCAGATTGCTCACGTCTTAAATGTTTACATACATAAAGGGGCAGTACATTTGAAATCATCTATCAAATCGTCAAATTTGCTCACCAACCTGTGATAAGCAAAACTCGCTTAGAATAACCACGTAACAAATACTCGACGTTCAATATATAGGTACAATTGATCTATTATCAGTGTATAAAGGAATCATATTGTGTCATAAAAGAAATGGTGACCTATGTGTCTGTGAAACAAACAGAAAGATTTCTTAGCTTTGTATTTCCAATCCTTTTGTGACTACTGTTAAACGGTCCATGCTTAATTAAAGTAGCTTAAAGAAGGAAGACACATCTGTACTTTTGTTCTAACAACCCTAACGGTCGACTCTTCAAAACTTGTCCGTCTAGATCTAGAAATTGCATCCAAATGCAATGGAATATGTCATGAGAGAAAACGTTGAAAGAGTTCTGTTGAATCCCGCGATAGTTAGTAATAGGATGAAGTGTTCCAACAACAGACATGGACGTCTAGGTTGTTAGTAACAGACATGGACGTCTGCTCTTGTGCCTGATGCCGGGACCCCAGTAGAAGCAGACGGCTTCAGTCCACCTTCTTGTTCCAGTCGTGAAGAGCCTTGTACTGGCAGCACGTCAGGATCAGTCCCAGCACCTAGCAACATAAGAAGGAACTTTTTTTTAAAAGTCCAAGACACGGTGGTGGGAAACTAGCAAACTTCTGATTTTAGCCTCGAAAATTAGCCTCGAACCTTAAGACCGAACATCAAGCCTTGACGGTGTTTGCTGTGATTGATTGATTTTACAATTTTTAGGGCCGATTTCTTTATTTCTTGACCTTTTTAAGCATATTTACCGTCATGCTAAGTGTTTGTGAGAGTGCATTTCACACATTTGACATGAACTCTTAACACCCGACAACGCTGATTCTTTTTGCTGCACTCTGGGTAGGCGCACTGTCGGTCTTGTTGGATCCTACCTGCTTCTTTCTTCTAGGTCATATTCTCCGTTTTATACTTGCTTCGAATTCGATCAATTCAAAAAGTATATATGTGACAAAAATCTAACGATAACATAGATCTGTATATACTGATGGCGATTATGGCTGTGATTATGGCTGTTTCAATGTCTGTATGTACAAGTGTCTGAAGAACTGACCTGCACCAGACTCAGTCCCAGGGCGATCCATCCAGCACGGAAGACGTTCTCTCGTACCCAGGCTTCCAGAGGCTTCTCACATCCCTATAGATATGTTTACTATAATAAATCATTTCAAGCGGTAGTATATACAGACTTGTCAATCAAACTAAACTGTAACCCAACACCAGTTACCATGGTGACAGACGTCAACAAATCAGGTCATTGGCGAGGTCAGTGTTTGGAACGGAAGAAGAAGAAGAAGAAGAGGAAACGTGGCAAAACAATATGGTTTCCCTCGGTAAACATAAATACGTAGATATAAGCACCTTTTCATAAGGCTGAGCTGTGTCACAGTCCTTCCCAGGACAACACGAAGGTGGAACGGTAATATAGTCCAAGGGACCGCGCTCACCACAGCACGCAAACTATGAAAGATAAAAAAATTGTGAAAGATCGTGCGGTTATGATATGCAATGCTTTCTACACTTACTATAACGTTACTACCATGCGAAGTATTAAGTTAACTTGCTATTCATAGATACACTACAGCGGTGTACGTGTACACCAGCGTTTAGTTTACCTGGATCTTTAACAGAACAATTGGGCGGTTGCAAAATGCTTTCGAGAGTCTGTTTGGGAGCTGTTTTGGTAAACGTGTTGTACAGGAATCTTTCGTCACATACATACGGAAGTTTTTGAACAAGCGTCTTGGGAACTGTTTTTGAACACGCACGCAAAGCGGGCCATGTACATTGTAACAATGCCTATATCTATCTAGGTAGCATATATATGATGCTTTCAATTTAACAAAAATCGTAATAAGTTTGGCGTTTTGCCATTAGATATGCTGGTAGTAGGTAATAATTCAGACAAATCGAATGGAATTGAGAGGCTCTTTTTTATCATGCAAAAACCCATAGTCATACCAAACATCATTACTTAAAAGCCTAAGATGTTTCTCTTATACGGCAAAATCACGTTGGACAAAGCTTTTGTCACTAACCTCTGTCTGCAGCCTGTCAATGGTCTCTTTCATATCGGTGTCGTTCAGTGCATTTGTGATGTTTATGTCCCTCCGAAGCTTTAAAACAACAGGATATGTATATGTAGAAAGGTTTCATTTGCATAAAAGATATCTATTTGTATCCCTGTCTTTTTTTTAAAGCTACATGTTCTTGACTTATATATCTTATTTACATATGAGGCCTTTAACTCAATTATTACTTAAGGTGCCTACTATCCAAACATAATGACAATCCGTCGACCCTTTCTAGAATTACCCTCCTTCAAGTTTTCACGTTAACGGCAAAAAGTACAAATTTAAACAATTGGTCTAAAATACGAGATATACACTTCTCGAGTTATCCTGTCTACAAACACATACACGGAGGATCGAAAAGAGAGAGAGAGAGAGAGAGAGAGAGAGAGAGAGAGATGGTACAAAAAAAACATAAGCATCTCGGCGAAATGCATCGAACACATTGAAATACAGATCATGGTAACCCGTTACATAATGATCGTAATCTGTGTCTACTTCGGCAGCCTTAGCTGCATGTCGATGCATGAAGCACACAATAAAACTAGAAAGGTAACATTTGCAAAGCAAATGCATAATGCTTACCTTCGCATATGTTCTGCTCTGTTATATATGGTAAGACAGCAGTCGAAATCCCCCCTGGTATAAAGTTGCAACATGATGTAACCCAACACCAGTTACCAGTGAGAGACAGTCTTGTTCAGTCAGGTCAGAGGTCACTGTTTGGAGAAGAAGAAGAGGAAACGTAGCAAAAACAATATGTTTATCACAAGTAACATACCTCAACATCGTGGTAGTAGAGGGCGAGGAATCCTGTCGATCCAAGAGCCGCAAACGCCACGAAACTCGTGATCCAGAACTGAAACAGCAGAACAATTTAGCATCTGGCATCACGTTACCGCTAATAAAAACTTTTTCAAACATTACAAATCAAGCGTTTGGAAAGAATATCACCAAAAAGCTTATCCTAAATGAATCTCCATTTATCTTGAAAACGTCGTGTTGCATATCGTAAAGTGTCTGGCTAGAAATGTGGGTCTTACATAGCTATAGCCTCTACCAGGCTCCGGGAAGCAGGTGGAAAGAGTAGAGATTAGCCAGAAAGACAAATAACATACCAGGGGAGTACATTTAATACCGCTTCCGAAATGTACTCTCTAGCGGATCAACTCCCCTGGCATATTGTCTGTCTTTCTAGCAAATTTCTACTCGTTCCAGTCGCTTCCCGGAGCCTGGTAGAGGCTAAATCTTACTCACCAAGGCCAACATGCATCTGGAGTCCGTCATGGCGCCTGCGCACCCAAACACGGCGAAGATAAATCCGAATGTTCCCGCCGCTATGAGAGTGTAGATAGTGACGGGGTAGAACAGACTGTCCAGCAGGGAGATGTAGGTACTCTTCTCCACCAGCATCCAGATCCCCACACCCAGGGCAGCGCCACTGGACAGCTGAGGAGAAAGAAAGGAACTTTATTTATTTATTTATTTATTTTTGTTTTCTTTAGCCAGGGTATCCTGCTCAGTGATTAAAGGGGACCTGGACACAAAATCTGTATCTGTATCTGTACATGAATATGTATCTGATTGCAAATAAAGTTCTCGAGTGATTGCCATATTTGGACACAGAACACATTGAAAACATACCAATAATACAAGAAACAAAACGATATAAGAACAAACATATGTACAAATCCATCAACTTTAAGGACAAATAGACACACATAGTTCCATATTTCCACTAAGCCAAAAGCTTAAGTTAAGATCAAAAATATCACTCTACTTATCTTCTCCAGCTGAATGTTCTGTACTTGTCCCCTTACATTTAATTCGATTGTCTATTCAAACATACCGTTTGTATGCGTTTCTCTATTCAGATTTGAAAATTATCGTATTTGTCTTCACTTTATTTGCATAGAGTCTATCAATCAATAGTTCGTGTTTAAAAACCTGAGCACTGTTTTTGAGAGCTCTCCAGTGTAACTGACGAAAGGTAGTGGATGCTACACGAAACGTCTGTTTCCAAAATCATATCCACTTGCTTGAGTAACTGTTTTTTTGGCGTATAGTATTCATACACCTAACCCACGCACGAAATGACTCATATAATTGTTGCCAATCTAATCGTATAGCCAACAACAGTGCAAATAGAATTGCGTGCTCGGGTAAGGTATTATTTTATGTCAATTTCTCTGTCAGTCGACACCGCATACTGAAAGGAGCCGAACCTCTGTATTAGAGTAGTGTTAGAACTGATGTAGTTAAATTAGTATCAGTAGTCCTGTTTGTACTACAAACATGTATATATCTGTTCACCTGTACTTAGCCCGATAGGGCATGAATGTACAGTAAAAGTTATCTATTTTTAACTAAATAGAATGATGAAAATGGACAATTACCCACCCATGCCACCACCCCGTAGCCAACCACACTTGGCTTGAGGCAGTCTTTGTTGCAGCACTCCGCTCCCATGGTCAGTTTTTAACTCACTCCCTGACCAATTCACTTCTGAACGTCCACCAGTGTTAGGTGCTAGCTGCAGACGTGAAGAACTGTTCTATCAAACAGCCCCGTCACCATAGCAGCCACCACTGAACTAATGTCTCTTGATTTTGTTGTTTAATTGAATTGAAGCATGTTGTCAGTGATTGCGTACCCACCAGAGGTATTTCGTGTGTCTGGTATAAACTGCGTGCCGACATCACCAGTCTTAACGCCAAACATCGCAATTTCGATAAGGCCATGTTGATTGGATAATATGGATGACATCCGTGCGCGCATAGATTTTAGTTCGTTTCCAAAAGAAAACTTTTCGACCACACTGTAAATCGTACAAAGCAGCTGCAAAGTGAACAAATATTTACCGTAAATCGCAAAAGATATCGGAAAATAATACTAAATAAAATGCAGAATGCCAAAATCAATTCCAAAGGAAAAGAAAAACATGTGAAGAAATGGAGAGTCTATTATTCACTATACCATAGATATAGATCTACTCTGTATGTTTAGTCATTTGTTCAATCTTCATGACCACGTAGATTTCATAATGAAGGCAAATTTTTTTTATTCGCACGCTCGCGTCAGTTTTGGGGTTCCTAAAGGATGTCATCCATATAATCAAATCAACATGGCCTAAGGAAGTGACAAGATACTTAAAACGGAGTAATGACAAAACGAAGTGGGCTCTGGAACGGCTGTTTATCATATACATATGGCTGACAAGTTGTGCTCACTAAATTACCAGTTGAATGATTCGTTCATAGCAGTCCTGCAACTATGGTGAAAAGCCAACTTAACGGCAAACAATACTCTCACATGCCTGCAGCTAGTACCTCCACCGTGGACATTGTTATCACATCAAAAAGGTTATTCATTGGCACTATTGGTGTATTTGTTGTTTAATAAATCATGATTTCATTATGAGCGATAATCTTGTCTCTTGTTACATGAATTATAGTATGTTTGGTGTCCTATTTGCTCAGCTGAAACCACAGCGGTTTAGATTTTCTAATTTTTTTGTTTGCACATTTCGAATCCTTGATTTCTGGTGTACGCGGTAAATAACAAGCTTAAGTCCCAGCGTCCAAACTTTTAATGATTAACTTGTGGGATTCGTGGGAGCTCTCATTGGGACAAAGCTATTTGCTTTGGGCTAATTTGTAAAAGCGATAAGAGATATAGTTGTGATATGTAAACTTTTACCCTTAGAAAGTGGAAAAATTGGAACACCGTCGTTCCATCGTTTCAGTCTTATCCTCTTTGAAAGATTTTACCTAGAACACCCCTGCAATTCCATAACATAACTGCTAGGGGGATCAAACCACTTTTTCTTGACATGATAAGCAGTCATTATTAAAAGAATCAAGACGATAGCATGTCCAGGACAAAATATACGAAACCGGAAGTCTACCAACAATCCCCGCACCAAATGTCAGGTCATGTGGCTCATGGTGAATCCAGTGGCTAGGATTAAAACTGATCCCAATTTATCTGTAAATGTGTGGGTTTTATGGTGTTATGAAGAGAGTATAGTGATGGTGTTTTTCTTTTTTGTCTGTAAATGTGGAGAAATTAGAATGCAATTTGTTGGCCTCTTCAACAGGTCATTTCTTTCGTGATAGTAGAGGGGGCAATCTGAAATAATGATATGTAGCAATATTACTTGGAATACCACGGAATGATGCTGATCTCATAATCATGATATATATACATGTAATTTGAAGATGAAGAGATAATATTACAGAATCACATGAATTAGGGGATTGTAGGATGATAATGAGGAAGTACTACGATGGATTGTGTGAAATTATGAAAATATGCCTTCTATTGGATCAGATTGTGGGCAGTGTGGTTCAACGAAAACAAAATGACAAATTTTGAATCGATGGAGGTATTACTTCGTTGTACTCTAGTCCTTGTTGGTAACTTTGTCAATACTCGACACTGATGAATGTTCAGATTTGTTGGTTCCTTTGAACAGTAGGTAAAGGCAAAGTTGAGCTGGCATTGAATGGTTTCTATGGCCCCAAACGGCTTTTCTTTATTCTCTTCCCCACCCGGTGTCAACGCACGGATGAAAAATTATGTTTACCGTCGGTCGTGGTTAACTAGCCAACGGAACACTTCGTCTCTCCATGACCGGGCCAATCCCAACATGGGTTACAAAACATCACATTTTATGTAATTTTGCGAATACATTTTACCTGCAAGATAGTAAAATGGGACGTCGAATAGCAAATCTTCTCTTGTCATGTCGAGAATTTCAGCTGCAGTCACGTAATATTTTTCCCTTGTACGGTTGAACTTTGCCGGGCTACGGTGACTAAGAATTAATCCAGGCTTTCCCTGTGACTTAGGCGTCTGCTTTTGTTTTCTATCCAAAGACACAAACACATTTGTATGCCCTTTCCGCTTCTTGAGAACCCAACTCTTTCCATCGGCTCATAATGGTGTATATGCGTAGGCAAGGCGTTACGCTAACAGCAATGAATGGCTTTAATTTGAATATATTGGGCAAGTATTTGCTCTTGGGTTTGCGTCATGGCACCACCCTTGGTAGTCAAACCCAGAGTGGCGACATGGTTTATCCAAAATCGCCGAGCACGCCGGGCACTACTCAGCTGCTCTGTTTCGGGCCGAATTGTAGAATTTCCTTGTAGTTCTGCCTCTTTCAAGTTCCCTTTAATCCAGGTTAAGATTTTCATCGGATCACACCAGACGAATCAGGCGGAAGCGACGTGCTAAGGCGCCGCACAACAGGTGAGTTTGTAGACCTGGCGGCGACGACGCCATATTGAGAGGAAAAAAATGTACAAGATTTGCCGTCTCTCGAACTTTATCCATGTTGCATGGAAGTTACTTATTTCACTTCCAGTGTTCCTGTCGCTACGACACTCCATAAGGCAAAGTCTATGACCTTGTTTGCATTGCACGACAACATTTTATTTGGGCCAAGTTCCGCCATCTTGTTTCGTTGTTCACAGTTCACTGTTAGTTACTGTTAGTTGTCCACATCTGTGCGTTACTTTTTAGGTGAGATACGCACAGGAGTGAATAAGTTTACATATACCATGTAGCACAGAACTGCAACAATACGATTTTCATGATCTGAATACATTTTTGACACAAATATCGAGACAAAGTGGCAATAAAACTAGCAAGTCAACATTTGCCAGCAAAGGCATATGTTTCCCTACTCTTATTTTCTAATTAAATGGCCTCCTGTGTAAAAATTGACAATTTCAAACGGTTTTGAATGAACACTTCATTGCACGTGTGTGTCGGCTTGTATCTAAGATCGGAGCAGTAGATACTATTTTTTTGTGAAAATAGCCAAAACGTTTCATCTTTGATAAGCAAAAAAGGCCTACTAAGAGGGATTTTGAACCTGGAACAAAATGCTGGTTTGGTTCTCTGTACCGTCAGTATCTTCTAGACACCTGTTAAAACAGGTACAATATTACCATGGTTGTAATGGTCTTTCTTATTCAGAACATAATCGTCGCCGCGGTCTCTTTACCAATTGATAATAATTTCACCAACCTATATATTGATAAAACACATTCTCGAGACCCTGAGATTAGGTTATACTGCCATAAAAGTTAACCATATGTCAAATCATGTCAAAACAGCAACGATATGACTGTAGCTCTCTTTGTCTTAACGGCAGAAAAATTTCAGTATGAGAAAAATGGACTTGTTCACTGAACTTGATCTTCACTGGCAACACGTGCCGGGATGGGACAAAAGACATATGATTTGATAACGGTAATGATAAGTTCACGGTACACAGAAGTGACTGTGAATATATATCATAAAAGTACTGTGAAAAAAAGCAGGAATTACAGTAACAGCAACGGTCATACAACTGCACTTCCCCGTGTGCAAATAACGCCATTATAGTACGGCCATTTACACCTTTAGTGCACGTATGGCCGAATTAATCAGTAACTCACATCCTTTCATGGGAAAACATAACGGCCAGGTCCCGTCTGAGTCACCTGTGCGCCCGGACAATGTGGGTCTGGCGTCAGCAGACGTTTGGCAATCACTGTTGAATAATACCGTCTGATTTCTCTTTATTCTACCGGACAAAGTACACTAACGGTCCGCTTGGGCCACCGAGTGAGATCTCCAAACCGATCCAGCAATCGTCTAGGACGGTATCGTGTTGAGATTGGGTCAGATATAGATCCTAACGTTTTAAAACTGACGCTCTCGAGCACCGAATAGTTTCCAATATTGCGGACAGATGGTATATCTCGAGCGCCATTTGAAATTGTTCTCAAGAAACTTCATCAGGTGAGAAGCTTTATGTACGTTTTTTGTGCCCGTTTTTCTTAGCACTGTGAGTCTAATATTATCGTAGACGAAAGCTATCGCATTCAGGAGGCTGCATCTTATAAGGCAAAACTGTTTTCGGCACAGAAAGGGGCAACCGAGTGAATTCTACTGTGGACACACTGCTCTCAGCCATTATGTGCTCTTTTGGCAGACCCTGTCACGGGTACAATTTGGCAGGTTGTGGCTAAGGACATGTTCAAGTGTCGAACAGAACAGCTAGCGAATGATTTTATAGAGTCAGGTCATGAGAGGACATCAAGTCCTAGTCTCCACCACAGTAACAACGCGGGTTCAAAAACAGTAAAAAATTTAGCTAGAAATGGAGAATAATAGGCCCGTGGAGTTTGGCCAGCAGATGGAAGAAATTGAATCCTCCTAGAAGGTCTTCTAGATTGTTAACCTCCTTGCGCGGACTGACCTTAATGGTAAATTATTTCCTTTTTATGCCGAATTCTACGATCCGTACCCCCGTAGGAAGGCCTGATCGGGGGGCTAATTGCATGAGTCCTGTCGGTATCATTTCGCAATTTTAACGTGACGGTAGAAAGACATAGGATAGTTGAGGTTTTTAAACCTCAACTATCCTATGTCTTTGTTAAAACACATTAATAATGGAGACAACGTGTAGCGAAATAACAGGCGTTAAACAAGAACAGGTGGTTGTGATGGAGAAATAATCCGTTTTCACGATATTCTAAAACTTTCACCATGATTCACTGGCCGTTGCATAGCCAACTAGCCTCTAACAGGCTTCGGGTCGCAGGCGAAAAGTAGAAATTTTCCAAATACATATAGAGACAGCCTAAATGCCAGGTGAGTTTGTCCGCGCTAAGAGAACAGTTTGCCAACTCCCCTGGTGTATCATCTGTCTAATTGGCCAATTTCTACTATTTCCAGCAGCCCCCCGAAGCCTGTTGGTTGAGGCTAATGGTTAATTGTTGGCCGTGACTTGCCAAACGACAGACAAAAGACCGGGTAGCGTGTGACACATGACGTAGTGACCTCTACATGAACCCGTCAGCCCAGGACAGGGAGGGGCGACAGGTGGCCGCTGCTAGGGAACAAAGTTATCTCAAACCCCGGTCTGCTGGAGCAATGGTTCAGGATTTTTACCTGCACGTACAAGGATATTATATCTCTCTCTCGCGCGCGCGTGTGTACTTACACATATACTTCATTAGCTAGTCAGCACTCACCTGTTTCAACTTTACATCGTCGTTCTCAAGAATGGCAGAGTTGTAGTACTCAATTTGTAGCAAGTTTTTCTTGTTTGGGGATGGAGAACAACATAAGGCTTTTCACATCCGCCATGTTGGATTACAGTGTATGTCTGCATGCTGCTACTTAACTAGTTTACCTGCCAACACCTGGTCGCCGAGATTCATATTATAATTATTCTTAAGACGTCAATAAAAACCGGTACCCCTCCATAAATAAAATGTTCTGGGCATGATGTGAGCATGATTGATGGAAAATCACAATGGGAAATGGGGATTTCTGTGTACATAATTTCATTTTACTCATGAGTTTTTTCTTTGTTTAGTTTCACCTTACTTTCACTTGGATGGTTTCATTTTACATGTTTATAGTATGTCTATTTTGTGAAAAAAGTTTCATCCGTGCTGATATATTCTTGAAAAGCTGTTTCTGTCCTATTCCAGGTCCAAACCGATCGTGAGGGATCAGCAGGCCGGCGGGAAGGCACACGTATGGTCCGTGTTGCAGGGGGACGAGGAGATGGCAAGATGTTGGCATAGCTGTTTACAGTTTCTGGTTCGGCTGTGCTGACAAACTGCCGTTTCCCGTTCACCCGATTACAACTAAGCTTCCACGCGGTGTGGACAAGGACGGTGTTCACATAGACTTCCCGATGACAAAGAACCGTTACATTGAAGAAATACGTCTAGAAAATCAACACTTGTAAGCATATGATAACTCATCCGTGGTGCAAATATGGACCATTTTGAACACTCGTACAAAACCGCATGAACCATACTAAATTGCATGTACACCAGTAATTCGCAGAAGGAAAAAATATTATTGCTGTTCCTTCTTCTCCAAATAGGGTAAATGACCTAAACCTGACGTCTGTCACCATGGTAACTAGTGTTGGGTTACATCATGTTGCAATTTTATAGCAGGAGGGATTTAGACTCCTGTCACCATATATATGGATGTGTTTGAGTAAGAATTAACAGAGCAGACCATATGCAAAGGTAAACATTATGCATTTGCTTTGCAAATGTTACCCTTCTAGTGATCTTTAAATTAACCAGGACATGGGAGACTAGCTATAGAAAACCGGAAGGTCAAATGGTGGTCAAACTCGTAGGAAAGAAGGCTGTAACATCATGGGGCAGTTCGTTTTGCATTTTCCTTTATATTGATTAATGTTGGTTTCACGAAAATCGACAAATATGTTGACACTTCTTTGTTATCCGCAAGAAAAAAAGAACATTTCCATAGTCTATGGTTCTTATATGGTTTTGATCTCTATGAAAACACACTAAATGCTACAGAAACTGTTTAGTGTTTTGGACTGTGGACTCAGCTAAACAGAGAAATAAAGAGTTAAATCTGAATGCTTGTCTTTTTTTATTTCATAGCTTGACATCCACATGTTCAACACATTGGACTCTCCAGCTTCAAAGAGACTATGCAGTATATAATAGATAATATTGGGGGTCTTGGTGGTTACATGTACCATAAACAATTAAGAAATACATTGTATCTACAGTATATTATGTATATCATACTGTCAAGCAATCAAACTTCCATTGAGAAAGTAAGTAGCTCATTTGCTGGCAGCAGTTATCTACATAAAATTGTACATCTACACACACGTCACCTGCCATGATATTGAGCATGCTTTCTTTGCAACTCTTCTACAATTCTTCCTTGGAAACCATTTTTACAGAATCTGTTCACGTCTTCTATTGTTCATAAACAAAGATCAGTCTGGGATATCATTCTATTACAAGAAATACGGATTAAATTATAACATTTCTTCTGGACTACACTGTACAAAATAATGTACATGTACTACTGTAAATCACTCTATATTCGCGGTAGCAAAACTTCTCGGTCTGAAAAAAATGGAGATGTTCGTGGAACTATATCTTCGCGGTGATGGCAGGTGCAAAAGAAAGAAAGTTGGGGAATTATTTGTTTGCAGTAAGAATAAATTCGCAGTACACAAGGGCCCGCGAAAACCACGAATATAAAAGTACTGCGAATATAAAAAGACTTACAGTATATAAACCACTTGTGAGACATTGCAGATGCCTGACATGTCCAAAAGGAGAAAATGGTGTCATGAAATCCTGTTTAACTGCAAAATATAGCAGCTAAAAGCAAGGATACTTGTAGTGGCACAAAATACCCAATCTGGACAAATGTTGGTGTGCACAATCATATTATGATGGTAATATGTAAAAGTTCTACAAGTTCACAGAGAGAATTCTTAATCTGATATAAACAAGTTAATCTTTACAAGCATTTTCACTTTGTTGCTGACTAAGTCTCCTATAATATAGTTTACATGAACATGATATTGCATAATATAGCTTGCAGACATTCTAAGACATATCATACATGTATAATCTGCACATTAATCATCCAGGTCCAATAAAAGAAACTGTGATGAAAGTATGAAGGATTCACATTTGTTGCACTGTACTATGAGAAGCAAAACTCACCAATACCCTCACATACACAGAAATACACACAAAACTACACCTAGAATTAATTACATTGTATGACAGTTGCATGGCTGTGGTAAAAAGTTGCAGGCTCAAACCCCAGGTTAAGTGTATGATAAATGTTGAGTTTTGCTGAGAAAACATTGTCTTGTTTTCGGACTTGTAACTACCGGGGGAACACTGTGAGATTTGAGAAATTCTGTCAAAAGATAGAATACCACTGTATATTCATAGTCATTGCAGAAAGATACAGGTGTGTAAAATGGTGAAAAAACTGGTAGGATGGTAGCTACTATAGAGGGCTTCACATATAAGACGGTTATGCATGTATTTTGTTGGCAAGTCCTAAAATTTTCAGGTGATTCCCAAAATTGTACGACACATTTTGAACACCATTTTCTGCACGGCAGCTAAATTTTGTACAAACATCCACAACTGTCCTACAAATTCACATTTTTGTTTGTTGTAAACCTGTCCTACCACACAATTTTGTGCCAGGACACTTTCTTAATGCTGTGTACTTTTGGTAATGATTAATTATTAAGATAGACAATACAATGACCCCCAAATTTTCTTTCACAATAAACTCATTCTAAATATTATATTCAGGAGAATTATATACACTCATACCATAGGTTCCTATTTTGAGATCACACTAAAAGCATTGGAATGTTCAACAACATTAAATACTAGGGAGGAATGTGGCTGTTAATACTTGCACAATGTTGTGTATTTGAGCTTTTACAATGTACATGTACATCAATGATGCTATTGTACAGTACATATTTCCAGTAGTTTCTAAAGTCTAAGGCAGATGTACATGTACATTACCAGCAGCACACATTCTACATTCAAATATGTATTCCCAACTTTCAGCTAAAAAAAATATGCTAGACACCTTGTAAAGTTTGATGGACAAGGCCTAGCAAACAAAATGTTGTGTTTCCAGTTTCCTGACCAACCCTAGCATTTTTTTATCGACCTCTGGTAAGGCTATAAAATCTGAATTTCAAATGCTCAGAATAATCTGAAACATCATTTAATGCATTGTCGGAAGCAATTTTTTTCTTCAGTAAATCAGGTGAAATATAAGTCCAAAAGCCAATAGGTGGACGGGTCCTTGAAACAGTCCTGAAGCATTGTTTAACTTTGTTTCTTGGATCATTTTAGCCAAAATCTAAAAAAAGTTTCAAATAGAAAAGAAAATCTGTACCTACAGACCCTATTTTTTCCAGGACTGAAACCATAAACACAACATGACTTTTCCTAGGCCTAATAAAGTGCCCCTCCCATGCTAATATTCCGCCCCCAGAGTTGTTGGAGTGCTCTCAGTCTCAGCAGCCCTGCTGCAATATGTTCCCCACTCTTCTGGTCTGGACTCCTAGTACAATGGCTTGCTACCTTGCTCCTCAAATTCTGCCCAAGCAGCGTTCAGCTCAAAGAAGATGAGTTTGGCCATTTCTTCTGTTGGTTTGTCAACATGCTGTAGGGCACAGAATGCTGAGTGTTAGAGGGTCAAATTAACTCGTCAACCAAACAACTACTATGGCTAAACGACAAAAGACAGACCCTGGCCAAAACACTGATACACATGTAGCGTCCAGAGTACTGAAATTCACTTTTGTTGGCAGTAGCAAAAGTTTGCGGTCTGAGAAAAATGGAGGTTTTCACAGTGGCGGCAGGTGCAGAAAAAAGAAAGTCTACTGCAAACTATTATTTAACGGTAATGATAAGTTCACGGTACAGAAGTGACCACAAAAAAACACAAAACATAAAAGTATTGGAAAAACAAACAAACAAACAAACAAACAAACAGGAATTACACTATTGTTGTCAGGAAACTGTAGAACTGAGACCATACCTTGTCAGGATGGACAGACAGACAGGCCTTCCTGTAGTGTTTCTTGACCTGGTCAGGCTGGACCAGCTGGTGCATGCCCACCTCCTTCCATCTGTGTTCCCCCTCCCACAGGACTGTGTGCAGGGAGCTCAGCAGGGCACGGATGTTCCCTTCCTTCCCTTCTATCCAGTCCAGGATCTGGTGGAAACAAGAAAACAGTTACTGTAGCTACTTTTCTGTTGACAAGAACAAAATTGCAATTGAAATTTAAACTATGTTGTTGATGCCAAACATAGATGTAGTCAAGTATATCTATATGATAGTAATCTTGTCATCATCTTAGATCTGCTACAGAACAGACAACCGAGAATCGCCAATTCCCAACTTTTATTAATTCAAGAATTTATCATACACGTCGTTCTTCTGGAAAACAGATGATTTACGGTTGGGAGCATCATCACTAGATAGCTCCTGCACTTAGATGTGCAAAGATTGGCAGCTGTAACATGTCGTTCGGTGTAATATAGCTATCTGCCTGAAAAGCTGGTGTGTTATGCCGAAGGGCAGTTAACTTATACCAGCTATACATGTACAGAATCTGATACAGATTTTAAGCCAGTACAAGAACAATGAATTACCTTCAGCTTTTGAGGGTCTGTTTCCCCTGCTCGCAGTTCTTTCCTCAACTCCTTCAGAGAGACACGTTCACCACTTTTCTTGGCAGTAGAGGCAAAGCCCTGAGAGGAGAGGAGGTCTTCAAAAGCTGTTTCTTCCACCTTCGGACGGGCTCCTATAAGTTAGATACAATAATACACTGGTAAGACTTCTAAAAACTTAGGCATAGTGCCACTGTGTAGTCCAGTGGTTAGCGATCCTGCCTCTGGACTAAGAGGTTAGGAGTTTGAATCCCTGCTCAGATGTCATTCACCTGGCATGCACGCTACTGGAAAGGGTTGTAGTCCTTATATTAGGACGGGACGTTAATCCATGGCTCCAGGATGAGATTTGTTATCTTGACACCCTCCATGTATAACAGCGTAGCCAATATGAACGGTATCCATCCTATCCCATATATTACTCATTTCATCGCTTAACTGCCAACTACATAGCAGTGATCAGGCATCAGTTAGAATAGAAAATAATGACTGACATTTAGATATTTGCAGGTACATCTCACCTGAACCTTGTAAACCTCCTTGGATGCAGGAAAGAATAAGCAGGGCCATGATCTCATGTAAAAGTTCACAGCAAATACTACTAGTACTAGTAGTCTGTTACTACTGTACATGCAATGTCGTATGGAATAAACATACATGGGAGAGGCCAGGTACACAGATCATGAAGTTTAAACGTAAGTTTAAAATCATTCTAAAAATTATAATGTTCCACTATCTGGGCACTTAATCATCCTTTTTGTAACAAACAGAATGGTATATTGCAATGCCTTTTCCACTTGCTTTAAGTAAATCAGTTGTAGACACTCACTAAGTATTACTAAAAGATCCCAGTTCTCAATCTCCAGAAATCACAATCTTACCATATGCAGAGGGGTTCCATCTGGAGTTGTCCTTGTTGCCTGTCATTGGTAGGTTGATGTTATAATTAGGCTTGAAGGCTTGCTGCTGCTGCTGTGGAGATGGCTGTGGGATCTGTCCTCCCATTGGTCGACCAGGCTGTTGCCATGGCGACTGCTGCTGCTGCTGCTGCTGCCTTGCGCCTTGGCCTCCCCCCCACCCTGGTCCCGGTGAGGCGGTCCCCAGTCCAGCAAAGCCACCCCCGGCCGGTTTAGGTTGCGGCTGTGGGGAAAAGTTGTTGCTTTTGTTTCCTGAACTCCCTAGATGACTCCCTAGGTTACCCAAGTCAGCGAACGGGTCGTAGGCCTTGCCGGCTGGTTTGGCCTGATGGCTGGGTGTCGTGACAGGACTTGTCCTCCCGCTGAGACTGAGCGGGGTGTTTCTTCCACTGCTCCCGGGGCTAGCGCCACCCCAGGCCATCAGGTTAGGCTGTGAGTGGCTCTGGTGGAAGGTGTTGGACGACCAGGGATGACCTAGGAGGTTAGGGTCTGTGGACACGTGGGTGAGAGTAGGGCCGGTCTGCCCCCAGGAACCCATCAGGTCAGTTTCAGATGGACCCTGGGCGGGCGCACTCTCCATGACCTTGAAAAAATCATCAGTGCCCTTCTGAGTGCTCTCAGACTGGCTTTTGGAGGGTGAAGAGAACGGATCAAACGCGTTACCGTCTACTTTGCTATCTGATGAGAAGTCTGCAAATGGGTCAAATGTTCCCGACGAAGGCTTTGTGACGTTGGGTTGTATCATCTCCTTGTCCTGCTGTAACGGATCGTACGCACCACCGAGCAGGTTTTCTACCTGTGCTCCATTCTGCTTCCCTCTGGGGTCAAACAGGTCTGCTTCTGTCTGATCTTGTCCTGACGAGAGCAGGTTGACGTTGCTCAAGTTCTCCAAACTTGACCTCTTGCTACTTGCATTGGATTGTGATGGCTTCAATCCACCGCCAAGCAAGTCAGGCTCGCCGCTCCTCTCCAATATATCTGGTACCGGCTCCGCACTGCCAAGATTCAGCAGATCGACGCCACCACTGTCTGTAGAAACATCAGGACCTTGGAAGTTTGTGCTAAACAAGTTCAGTTCAGGATTACCCGTGCCGTCTTCTTCGTCGGCAAGTTTTTGGAAGCCATCGCCGGGCTGGTCAGTGCCGTCTGCCTGATGACCGCTCCGCTGTTTTGACCACGCTGCCCACTCATCATCTGACCCCTCCTCATCCTCCATCAGCTCCAAGTGTTCTTCAGCAGACCGGCCGGGGTATACCATCTCGTCTGCGGGGGACGCAGGCTCTGCTGGTTCGGATGGCGGTGGTGAGTCGTCTGAAGCGTCGCTGTCCTGTCCGGAGTGGTCCTGGTAGGGGGTGATGGTTGCCCTCTCAGTGCGACCTGCGGAGGGCAGAGTTCAGGTTAATTCCCTGTCAAACATTCACAACTAAATTTCTTCCCGGTTTGCAACCTGGTTTGGCTGATGTTCGGGCGCAGTTTGACCAGAACATCAGCCAAACCTGTCTGACCAGATTTAGGCCATTTAGGCTACCTTTCTATAGGAAACGAAATAAATTTTTTAATTGGAGTGAAAAACACACACGACCACAATTATGATTATATCAGTCTAAGATTAAACTATCTAATGTACCTGATGGAAGTCCTGAAGGTTGTCTTGTGGCCTGTAATTTACCTGGAAAACATGCAAAAAGTGACATTCATGTTCACAATGTAATTTTTTAGTCTATACATACATGTCATGTATATTGCCTGTGCAGTTGACAAAAAGAAGTAAAGAACAGGCTAGGTTTTTTTGGTTTGGATTATTAGCTACACGTAATCTTGTCAATTATAAAAAAATGTATTTAGATTAACTTATGTTATACTAATTATAAGCTTACCAAACTCAGCAATGGCCTGGGAGTACTCTTCAGATGCTGTGAAAAGAATCTTTGGATTGCTGCCCTTCACAGAGAAGTTTTCCCAGGGGGCAGGAGCCCTTTTCTGTGGCTCCTGTCCCACAGACAGCTCAAAGGTCACACTGAACAGGTCAGGGTACTTGTCAGCAAGGTCACAGGCGTCAAGGTCATATCTGAGAGGGAATAAACACCATTTAAATACGTATTCCAGCAGTGCAACTTGATCAATTTAGCTAAATCCAAACACATTCTCCATTAAGCCACATAAATTTCTACTCAATCTTAAAGTGTGTTTTTGATGAAACTTGCGATTGGGAAAAATGTAGCCTTAAAAATACTTTGGGGGTGCCATATGAGACCCTCACCAAAGATAGGAAATTACTAATATCATTATGAAATGTATCAACACAGATGAGCTTTCATGGTAAACTCTGAATAAAATTCTTCTTACTTGGAAAATGTTATAGAGGAGGCTTTAGTATCCACGAAGCCTGTGTGAAACTGGACCTGGAACATCTTGATGGAGGTCACCTGGAATAAAATTCAACCCAGTAAGGTACATGTTTCAAAATAACATGTTTCAAAAAAATGTAACTATTTTAAAAATTATTATCTCAAGTTGAGAGTCTTGTTAGGACCAGTTCTATCACACCATACATGTGCCAGTGTAAATCCTAGTTGAAACATTTTGTAACACAATAAAGGGCTTAAAATACTCTTCTTTAGCACCACTAATGAACTTACTTGTCTAACAGAATCAATTAGTCAACACTTATATATGGAAAAGGAAAAACTCATTGAACATGACAAAGACTCATAATTGTCATTGAATGAGATAGTTCCTAGTATGACAAGACAGTAGGTACTGCTACGTCTATGACTAAGAGTATTATCTACCTGGATATCTAACCTTCAACAGTGTAACAGTTCAGATAATCTCAGAACAGTTATCTGTCTGGACTGACCTTGCCCTGCATCTTGCCCCCAAAAGTAGATCTAGCGTGGTACAGCTGCACCACCACATCACCTGTCACCACCAGGTTCAGGGGAATCACCACCCGCCCATCTTCAACTGAAAAACCACTGCACGGGAAAACATCAACTTGAAGTTCAATGGTGCAATGATTTTGAGGATACAAGAATTGCCAAGGAATATCATGGCACAAGTTAGTTAATCATTGAATCTACACGTAACAGTGCACACACCAATTCTGGACATTAACATGATGACCAATAACGCTGACCTCTTTAAACTTTTGAGGTAGAATTTGACCAGTCACTATATAATGGTTTTCCTTAGCTCTATGTGAGAGCATTTCCCCTTTGTGTTGGAACAAAAGTTTTACCCTTTTTAACATTAAACTATGAACACAGATATGAACACAGTTTGATGATGATGCTGACCTCATTTTCTCATACTCCTCAGACGTGGTGAGAATCCTGTCGTCTCCGATGTACACCTCACAGAAGGGCCGACAGCCGCTTCTCTGTTTGTTGAAGAGTGGGACAGGTTTCATCACCACAGACTTCAGCATAAGGGGTCTGCTGTGGGGAAGTACTGCCTTCTCCCCCATCATGTCACACACATACTCTATGTACCTGAACAGGAGGAAACAAAAATAAAGACATTATCAGCTTCTCTGCTTGTTGAAGAGTGGGACGGGTTTCATCACCACAGACTTCAGCATCAGTGGTCTGCTGTGTGGAAGTACTGCCTTCTCCCCCATCATGTCACACACATACTCTATGTACCTGCATGGGATGAAAGAGAAAGAAAGACATCATGAAAAGCAATGGACATCACAACCATTAAGAGTTCAAAGATTTTATCTGGTCTATGTTCCTCTTCTCCTAAGTTACGAAGCCTCAAATGCTGTCAGATTGAATTCAAATTTTGTAAACAATTTCTAAATAGTTAACAAAATTGACATGTGCCCTTACAGCCACTGCAAAGTTTAAAAAGTGGAGTTCATAAATTCCAATATTAAGCTTCATTTTTGCTTTCGGCATTGTGGGGCATAACTGTTGAGTGTTTGGCTCAGAACCCATAGGTCATGGGTTCGAATCCACCAACATGCCTTGTTGTGCCCCTGGGAAAGGCACTTAACATGACTTTCCTTACTCCATTCAGGTCAGTTGTATAGGCTTCAGTTAGGGATGTCCCTTGCATATGATGTTAAAAGGAGGTGCCATGTTTGGGGAGAGTCACACCCCACACACTTTAAAGAACCCATTGCACCTTTCAAAAAAGAGTAGGGGCATGCCCCGATGTGCGATGGTCCAATTTCTACTGTCTGAAAGCCAGTGATTCAATACGGACTCCAGGAAGAGCATTGGCAAATTTATACCATCAGAGATTCTAACAAAACAAACAAAAAAACAAACAAGCAAACCTCTTGTGGCATGGCCCGATGCCAGGAGGAGCCCTCCTCATACTGAACATGTAGAGAGCCGGCTCTGGGGAGGTGAACAGCTTACAGAAGGCCAGGAAAGCACACACTACAGTCGCTGAAGAAACCTTCCCATCCTGAAATCAAAAATACTTCTTTAGTATTTCTACGTTCTAAAACAGAAGCCTTTGGACAGCAGCTTTTTTTAATTTTTGTGCTATTTCTCTTTTTGTGCTGTTTCTGCTCTCAGACTAGAGGATTTGCAGTGCTTGGATAAATGTGTATAAAACTTTGTACTAACTATACATATCAAACAACAAAACTTAGATGTGTATGCGCAAAATATACATGACATATCTTTTAACCAAGTAGAATATACTGCTCTCAGAGTACACTACTTTGTACTAAATATACATATCAAACAGCCATACTTACACAAGTATGTAGACAATATATTTTACCTGACTAAAACACAAATTTTAAAATCAAAGTAAGGGTCCAGTCATAATTCCCTACAGCAAAAGTGAATTTTCCTTGCAGTTCTCAGCTAGATGTACATCTGTACTCACCAGACAGTGGAGAACACAGACGTTCCTGGGATCCTGTCTCAGCCACTGCTGCATGTTCTTGCAGATGGCAAATAAGTTAGACAAGGACGGGGCACGTTTGGGTGGCCAGCCACACTCTGACACCTGAAAGTCCAGAAAAAAAGTTCACCATGAGGCCACAGCCTTCACCAAATCACCAAATAGAAAGATGTCCATGTTATTCATAAATACATTATATCAAATAAATGTACCATTCAGGATATGCACCACCGACAGTTGACTAAAGTCATCGTCTTTCAAACTGTGTGTGACAGTTTTTCCATTCATTGTGCTATATGTTAGCCAATGTAGACATTGAAACAATCTCTGGTTGTGTATAAGATAATCCCAAAGAAAAGTCCTAGCATCCTATGCTCTACCAACCTGATGAAATTATTTTCTTTTTTTTTTTCCTTTCTTTCAGGAAGGGGGTTTGGACTCATGTTCCATTATCGTTATATGTTGTATGTCTAGTACTTATTTATTTACTCAGACTCTTTTTAGTGTCTAGTCAAATATTTAATTTTTAATAATGTACAAGTGGTGGCAAGAAAATAAGTTGGGCACAACTTGAGTACGCTGTCACTTAGTCTTCCTCCTTTTGATCGTGATGTCTTCTTAAAAAAAACTTTTGGAAGTATTGACATAGTCAGAGATATGATGTCCAACCTACCCTGTTGTGGAACTTGTGATGCCTGTATGTACGCTGAGACAGGTTGTACACAGCATAGTGCCCTGTGTGACGGGAGTCCAGGTACAGTCTCACCTCCTCCAGGTTGTTCTTAATGGTGGCTTCTATGCCTTCTGCTGGGAAGGACATAACTGGAGCAAAGGCAAATTAAAAGATTGATGAGTGTGTCTCTTGATCAATGATCCTAACAAAACCAATGCAATGCTAATGCTTACTATAGTGTTATTTTGTATGATATGTATGGTTATATGACTTTAAATGATTGTGAACTTTTATCTTTTTTGATATACTAGTATTTTGTCTGATCCTATTGCCATCAGGGTGAAGAGTACATGAAGGTCTATACTAATGACTTACCTATGACTCTAGATGTGACATAGGTCAAATCCATGTCAGTCCTTGTGTAGCTGTAAAAATACATTAAAATCATGTATTAGTTATCAATATTATCATCATTATCGTCAATAGTTATCAATAGACAAACAAGAAGAGTTTTTCATGATGCACACATAAGAAGCCATTTAAGACATAGGGTTACAATGTTACATCTTGTAACATATAGGGTCACCATAATTTTTAAAAGCATGTCACATGCTAAGGTATAGGATACTTGCTCTAAGACATAGGGTAACCATGTTATATGCTCTAAGATACAATGTAACAATGCTACATGCTGTACTTGGTGTAAGATTGGAGTTGTGACATAAGACTCACTTGGCCATGGACTGCATGACCTTGCTTGATGTGTCCTTCAGGTTCTTGAGGAAACTCCCCGCCCCGCCCTTCATCTTGTCCAACAGAGCATTTCCAGATGCACCTTCCAAATCCCCCTGGCTGCTGTGGCCTGGAGAGTCTAACAATTCAAGGCATAATATATCAGCACAGCACTCGAAATCCTTTTTTCTGCAAACCTGCACTGGTACAAATAACATTGAAAATTTAACCTGCACCAGACAAAGGTTAAAAATATGACAACCTCTAGCCTTTGATATTTTTTTTGGATCAACTGTAAGATAACAATTTCTATAGATTAGATCTAGACTAACTCAAAACTGATGATTTTATGAACTTTCTTTATCTCAATCAACCAGTGAAATATTCTTTAAGTATTGACGTGTGTCATGGATACATGTGTATATACACTGGGGAATAAGAAAGCATATGACTTGGTGTTTAGACCTGTCAAGTAGATGGAATTGCTATGGAACAATGTAGTTACCAAAATTTTTGGCTTGGTTCTCTTCTGGCATTCTGTCTGAGGCTTGCGGTGACCGGGTCTCAGTGAGCTGGAAGGTAAGAATGAAACATACATGTACATGTAGCTGATAGGAGAAAGAGAAACCATTCCAACCGCATGAAACTTTGTTGAGAGATGTCACTTTGCTCACCTCTGTGTCTCACAATGCCACTAAGGTAGTGTGTAAATTTATGTCAGTATAGTAGCGGTACTTGGTGATTCAGTATTTTGGACCTGTGCCTAAACACTTTTTAAGGTCCTATATGATAGTATATCAGTACACATTACATTGTATGTAATTTGTTCAGCTTTACCTGTAGTGGAGACTTGGGGTTGATGTTACGAGCAATAGCGATCTCCTGCAGCCTTTCCACTAACGCATTGATGTCTGGTCTTTCCATGGGGTTGGTCTTCAACATCATGTCTGAAAATCAAGTGAAAGAGTGTATGAACTTTTTTGCTTGGCAATCATATGATTACTGTAAAACATGTAACAATAGTGAGTCAAAATGCTTAAAAAGGCATTTTTTGCCACAAAAAAACATCAAAGGATAACGGCTCATTTTAGTTTCTTTTTGTATCATTTCCAAATTTCGAGTTTAATCAAGGCATTTTGTATGTCTCTCTCTAACACTGTCTGAACATATCTGCCTCTTCTCTTTGGGACATTAAAATTATTAGTAATAGAGTATGATATGCTTTTTCATTTGCTGATGCAGGTATCATATGAAACAGGAGAGAAAACCAGTAACTCACCTATCAGTTCATGGAAGACTGTGTATTTGACATCTGTCTCAGGAATGGTGTATTTAGCATTCAGAATGCGCAGCTTGGCAGAGTCCTCAAATGGGTGTTGGCCAAAGCAAAGTAAATACAGGACACAGCCGAGTGCCTAGAACAGAGACAAAATATGTTTATATAACAGAGCTGTGATTCACAAAAACACCTGCAAGAAATTGTAATATAGAGGCTACATGTATTGTATAATTGTCATGTCATATGTCATAAGTCAAGAATGAGGATGTGATTCATGTATGTAAACAACATCTTTGAATATCCAATCAATTCTACATCCAACAGATGAATTTGGAATAAGAATTATAATGCTAATATTGAATTATAGCTACCATCTAATCATTAGCAACAGCAGAGATAAACCTAGTCCACACATTCCTTCAAATAAAATTATAGGACATGCATGTACATACAATGTAATATTTGCAATATTCATCTCTACCTAACTTACATGTATAAAAAAAATAATGTGCAATCCGAAAAAAAATTTAGGTTGGCTAGAACACTGGTGTAAACTATTCCTTCACAGCACATTGAAGTCAATAACATTGAAGAGGTGTATAATGTAAGACTAACCCAGATGTCTACTCTGTCATTGATGGGGTAGTTCTGATACAGGTCCAACATCTCAGGAGTACGGTACATGGGTGTGGTATTCCTGGTCATCTGGGCACAAGAGGAACATACACTTGTCAGCACAGGGTCATTCATTGTGAAGTACAGCCAAACTTGTCTAAGATGACCACCGAGGGGACCAAACAAAAGTGGTCTTCTTAGACAAGTGGTCTTCTTATACAAAAAGCATGAGAAGACATGATAAGACAGGACAAGACAGGGTACAAAATTTCCATCCATTTTATAATACACTGCCCCATTTTTCATTTAGCAAAGACTGCCATGCTGTCCAAATAAACTACAAGTTCCATCAAGATTTCTTGCTGTCATCACCTATAAACGTTTTCCACAACATGTTTGAAAATGACGCAGTCGTCATAAACCGAGATTTGGCCATGTGCAGACCCAAATAGTGCTGATTGCCGTCGAGTTGAACAAGTGGTCGGCTTAGGCAAGTCCCTTAAAGTTAAAGCTTAAAAGAAAAAGTGGTCATTATGGTCACATGGCTGGCTTAGAGAAGTGGCCGCTTGGCTAAGTTTGACTTCCTGAAGTTCTTACCTCTTCCTCAGCCATGGCTCTCTGATGTGCGCTCCATGTGTGGTCAGGATAGTGGCTGGTGGTGGTGGCACTGCCGAAGTCACACAGCTTTATCAGACCACGGCTACTGATCAACAAGTTCTCCACCTGAAATTCACATTCACAACCATTTTCAACATCAAATGTTTTCAGGTACATTGTACATTGTGCATTGTATGTAGTTGTCTGGATCATTCTTAGTAGCAGTCAAATTGCAAATCACCCATTACTGTTTTTTATTCAATTCTCATAATGTACCTGTCCCAGACTCCCATCATCCCAAAAATTACTAACTACATTTGTATACGAATCAAACAGAAAACACAATCACAAGTAAAACTGTCATCTATAGCAAAGAATCAGGCTCGAAATACTTTTTTTTCTGCATACCTGCACTGGTAACATTAAAAATTTACAAACAAATTTTACCTGCTCCATTATTGCCAATTGCCATTATTTTCTCCATACTTCAGAGGTGGTGACAGTCAATATATACCTTGTACACATAATTATAAACCTAGTACATGGACCAATGCAGGTTAGGTGCAGTTAAACATCAGAAATATCTGCCAATTTTTACCTGCACTAAGCCATAAAGAACCAGGTTGCACTAAAACACAATGAGACTAAACTCAGGTCTGCCAACAGTAAATGCAGAAAATGGCTGATATCCCTCCAACTGACCTTGAGATCTCGGTGTATGATGGGAGGTTTCTGGCGGTGCATGTGCTGCACGGCCCGGCAGGTCTGATAGAACACCTGCAGCACCTGGTCACACGGCAGGGAACCCTGCTGTCTGTTCAGTACATCCACCAGCGGGCCTCCTGATCAGAACAATAACAGCTTAGTCAAACCTGTCCTGTACTGAATACTCACATCACCCTATATATAAATTAATTTATCATGAAAGTTCATGTTGGTAGTAATGTTTAAACTTCTTGTTATTGTTCCAACTCGAGATTGTTCTCACCTAAAGCTTTCGACCAGTCACTCTGGTATTCTTTAATAGACTGGCCCAGTGAGACTTGTCATATGGCTTTATTGTAAGAATATTGGACAACAAACAAGACTAATTCCTGAGAGGGGTAAAAGAGGCTATTTAAATTAGGGCCGACAGGACTGACATTATTTACCAGATACCTTTGACCCAGTGTTAACATTGCACTTCAGAGAGGCCACATGGCAAGTCTCACTGGGTCAGTCTATTGAAGAAGACCAGAGTGACTGTTCGAAACCTCTTAGAGTAAGAACAATTCTTTGTGCTGGAACTCAAACTCTAATTTCGTCTCTATATAAAATGATGACAAAAACATGCTAAATGACAGTACAGATTCATACAGATTTTGTTGTCCAGAATATTATTGTTTTGGGGCCCTAAAGTTGCATTGGATGCATAGGTTAAATAGCAGTGGATAAGAAGCTAACCTGTGCAGAGTTCTGTCAAGAGGAGGAACTCAGCCTGTCCATGGTCAGACTCCTCCTTACTGATGCTGGCTGCTGACAGAAACTGGATGATGTTAGGATGGCCAGACAGCTTTTTCTGTGCAGCAGGTCAAGGAAGAGGTTTAGTCCAGTCTAAGACCATTATTTTATAATGATTCAGTATATTCTTAGCTTTCATTTTGGGGGGATTAAAGACTGGGATTGCAAGTGAATATTGATAGGTAAGGACAAAAGGTCACCACAAATTCCCCGAGGGAGCATGTCACGTGACCCCGCTAGGATTGTCGCATTCAGTGCTCGCAAATAAAATTGACATAACAGAAAAAATGGTCACATGCAAGCCATACACAAACAAAAAGATTTGCGAAAATGTGAAGTAAATGCTGATTCTACCAGGACAGATCCAAATTGGGATCTCTAGAAAGGATTAGGTATATTGCTATAAACATATTACTGGTACCTCCTGATGTCACTTAAAATCTGTGCTTTCCAGAAAACCTAAATACATGTATCTTTTTATGCTGTCTGTATATGATACTGCACACAAATCAAAACTGTACCAGCAGAGACACTGATCGTGATCTCTACCGACAGAGACTAAGATCAAGATCCCTACAGATATAATATATGATGCTACCAGATCAGAGTATATATATCATAAAAGTTATCCATCTCTTAAGTTGTTGAATAATACCAAACAGTCATCAGGATCAGTGGATGATTTTTCAGTCTTCTTCAGACTTTTCTGCCACTGCTGACTCACTGTTTTCAAGCCTGAAGTAATTTGGTTACTACTGACACGGGACCTCTTGGTTCTGAGTCAAACATTGTTAGTTGTGCCACACGACCCCAATCCACTACACTTGAAATCAACTGATGGCATAAAGGATACGATGAAGCATATTTCTTGTATGATGTTCTTGCTTGCATCTTCATCAGATGCCAGAAGTCTCTGAAAGTAATCAAAAAGGCATGACAATAGGTTAACAAATTTGCAACATTCCAATTACAATGTACATTTCTAGAATGCAATGATATACTGATGATGATAAACTACTACAAACTATTTCACAATGAATGAAGACTAAGTAAAAATATTTTGACAAATTAAGATAATAAGAGAATGGCCAGAAATTTGCGTAACACAAGTTACCAACCTTCAAAGCATATTCTTTTTTCTTTGCAAGATCTTCTGCCACATACACCACTGCAAATCCCCCTGAAGTGAAGAGAATGATGAAGAATTAACATGATGAAAAGATAATTTTACAAGGGGTCACCTATGCTGGTTAATACATGAAAGACAGATTTGGCGGATAAATCAAGAGTATACGAAATCACAGCATAGGCAACTCCTACACTCGAACAGTCTAGTGAGAACACTGGTGTTGTAGCTATTATATTGTAACCTGAACTGTGGCGACTTCTGTGGAGTGTATTTAGCTGGGAACTTTCCACATCCTCCACAAGAGTCGCCACAGCTAAATATACACCTACCTATGACATTTGACCCACTTGAGCTGGTTTGTTTGCTTTGTGGCATAATTTCAGATACCGGTATGACTAAAATCTAAAGATCTATGAAAAGGTAACAAGCTAAACTCCTTTCGTAGACAAGGTGGAACATCAAGACACTGCATCGGCACCACAAACTAACGTACAACCATAGAAGTTTGCACAATTCCTGAGTGAGTGTACGTTTTAGTACGACCGGTGAGTACAGCCCCCCTCCCCCTAAATAATATTACCTCACCTTCGGCGATGACTCTTTTGACTCGTAGTTTTATATCTCCCAATTCCACGAGTTGTCCAACAAAGTCATTGTCACTGCCGCCTCCGGGGGAACTCAGGTAACCCAGGGCAGACTTGAAGAAGTCTGACATGGCCCTAAAGATGATACACTTGTGATCGAGCCGAACGGATGTAGCTACATGTAGTCGTCAGCGACGGGACTCGAACCTGGGCACGTGACGTCCACGCCTACTCTCGCATGTTCTCGCGAGATATCGCAAGTCAAAAACCTTGACCACGAAGCTGTCATGAAGCTTTAGATCCTTGCCTTGACCTTCAAAACGTTTCAACTCCTAACCCAAGCCTTGTCCAAAGTCAAGAAAATTATCTTCTTTATATAAACGTAGGTATTGTTATTGGTTTGTCTGAGTTTCCACACACTTGTGGTAAAAGAAGAGGGGTTGTGGTATTTGGTATGTGGGTAGGTCTTGGGAAATTTGGGTCTCCTGGTGGCTGGCCTTGGTACTGCAGCAGAACCTGCCTTTGTATCTTTTGTCTTGGGCATGGTATAGTCTTACTTTTTTGCTGGCTGATAACTTGTTATGTCAGAAATAAGGTGTGGGTCCCCCTATATAAACAGCTTGTTCTGGACTACAGGAGAGTTTCCAGGAAAATCATTCAAAGCAAATAAATCAAGAAAGGAACAACTTTTTAGGATTTTTGGCATGTAACGTTAGGTAGCTTAGACAGTGATGTACATGTACACAATAAAATTCAAAATTCTGTAGATGAGATGATTTAGCATAATTAAAAAGGAAATTAAAAATTCCATTGTTATAGACTTCTTGTTACATGTCATGTACTGAGGTATGAGATCTCCAAAGTCTTGTTTGGCATTTCATTTCTCTCCATTGTCAACAGCTGACGTACTAATACCCACTTAGCAATAACCTCCATACCAGGTGATAATAAATACAAAACTAAGGACAATCAGGACAGATTCACAGTCACTATTTTATATTTATTTCATTGTAATACATAACCCATTACAAATAATTATAAAACACGCAGTGTGTTATCATCAACAAGACTCTATAGAGAGAACTGTCTCCCAGTGCCAAGAATTTTGAGCACATTTTCAGTGATGACTGACATGGTTCTCACCTTAACTAAGCATTCCTTTCTGTCGTCCCTACAAATAAATCTGAATATTAGAACTGACGAAAGTACCTTGTTGATACCAATAAACCGGCACAGCCTGGAGTCTGGAAATCTTACCCAAATAAATTGCTCTTAGATTACGTGTAATTATGATTTAACCGATTAATGCTTTAGAACCGATTGTCCTTAATGATAAATGTGGAAACTGAACTTATTTCTAACATTTTAGAAATAACTTTTGTAACTGCTCACTGCCTCTATTGTCTAACAATATTTGAGAGTTCCAATAGTATACACTGACAGCAATTTGTCAGCATGAACCAAGTATGTCTACTGGATTCTGAACATATTTCTACTAACGTTACTTCTAAATAACATAAAAGAATACTGCTATCATTCTTTTAAAATACGAAACAAGGGAAACATACATGTAGCCTACATTTGAGAGTTTTATATGTTAGGCTACCCTAGCATATACATGTAGTAACATTACATTGTACACAAACTGGCAAATTAATATTTTCTAAAACTGACTTGAAAGTTCCTCCAATAACATTACACTGGTTCAACTCTCAGTTTGTTTAACACACACATAGACACTCTTCCCACGGTGGCACTTCCTGACGTTCCACTTCTGTTGTTGGTTCATAACCACACAGTTCCGCTGCATTCTGTAGTCTGCGTCAGGCTGACCGGTCTTCCAGTTGGTATAGGACAGAGACTGCCCCGCTGACCACTGCCACTGTCTCTGCTGGCCTTTGTTATTCAGTCCTAAAGGGGAAAATAACAACTTAATTTTCATTGAATTTTTGTAGGGCACAGCAATATATTAATAGCAGCAGGCTTGGGAAGCCTTTGAACAATTTGAATGTAGAGTGAACTTGAGGCATTATTGTACAGACTACTAGTACTACTGATCAGTCATCATATACCAACTCTTCTCACCAATCCAAACTGGCTCCCCATTCACAAATGCTGAAATCCATTCTGATGTTTCTGTTGATAAAATGCTGGGCAATTCTCCATTGTGTCTGCAGGAAAGAGATGGAATCAAAATAAAGTGTCATCCTACAGAAAAAATTGGAATGAATCAGACTCTGTATTTATATTTCACTCCATATCACAGATGAAATGTATTGTCTTTTGTCATGTTTCTTCTTCTTCTCCTCCTACTGCCATTTCATTAAATGGATTTGACTTTATTTTTGGGAAGAACTAATACCTTTCCCTACAGATCAGCTGAGCATTATTCCAAGTTTCTTGACTGTTTCCTCTCTGGTAGCACAGACCCCCATGCTCTGTCCACCCTGTAAGAAATACAGAAGAAGAGCCAGTTCATCATGAGTGCTTGGAGAAAACAATATCTGATGCATTGCACGTTTTATCCATGCAGCGCCCAAAGTGAATTAAACTTAAACAGCTTTAAACATTGTCACAAAACCTGTGATAATCTCACCTGCTTGACAACCACCTGTCAAGGTTTCCTCCTGAAAGAAAAAAAAGTGGCAACAACCAGGTTACACGTGGATAAACAAACAGCAAGCAAAATTGAGATGACAGAAAAAATTTCAGGCTGGCTAAAACCCTGACATGGAGTGTACACAATGTTATGTACCTGCGGTGTCCACAGCTGCCACTGTCTGCCATCACACTGGTAGAGCTGTCCGGACTCATACTGCAGCAGGCCTACAGTGGAGCTGTCACACGGTCTCTGCCAGACTCCTGACCTCTTCCTGTTACGCTGGTGAAAAAGTGAAGGATTGTAACGTTACATGTACATGATTGAAGCAGTAAATGACCAGTCCTCCCAAGTTATTGAGACCTGGGCATATAGAATATCCAACTTGAAGCAGAAGGCAACAGCAGAACAGTAATGGCTGTTTTCCCGGATGAAATGGATGTACCTGGACTGTTGCAGAACTGTGTCTTCTTGGATGGCTCCTTGCAGGAGACATGATCCTTTGAAGGCTGACCTGGGCTGAAGCAACAGGACCAGTCTGAGTCCTTGTCTTCACTGGGAGAAGTCCATGGTACTGTCAGAAGAGGAATTGAATCCGTTTAGCAAAACAGCAGGAGGAAATAAAAAGAATACTTATTAGCCTGATTAAATTGTGCTTCTGGCAGCCGACCTGCCCTACCCCAAGCTTTGGGAAGCAACTAGAAAGAGTAGAATTGGACAAATAGATAGATTATGCTACGCTATTATGCTCCACGCTAAGAGAACAGTTTTAACACTTTTTTCGAACAAATTCCTGATAGCAGAACTATATTTCCACTCACCTTCCACTGACGATGCGTCCCGTTTGAGAAGAAGGATGATGGCACAATCTAAAAGATATAAATTCACAGTCATCATATTTAAACAGTGTCTCACAATGACTTCCATGTTACTGCTTGATTGAAATTATGTTGAAGATTAAAACTATTCAACAGAAAGAATGAATTTTCATTGTCATATGTAGCTCACCACATTGCCAGTAGACCTAGGACTGTCCCCCGTCTGTTGGATGTTGACCGTGCCTCTGGTCTCTTGCCAACTACTGCTGCACTTACCTGCAAAAATTAATTTCTTAACTTTCATGAGATAATTTAAAAACAAGTCAGGAAGAAAAATTTTCCCAGAGGATTTCATGCAAAGAAAAATTGCTAATGCACATCTTTTTATAAATTTAAGGCAGAATGTACCATTTTGGAAGTCATGTATGAAAACTATAGACTTGTCCTGATGTCCAAGCAGTGTGTTATCCGGGTTCCGCAGCTGCACTCGGAACTTTTCCTTGTTCTCTTCCAGGTTGTCTTTTCTGATCCCTATGGTCCATTGTGCTTCACTGACACCTGTATGAGTTCATAAAATAACATTCTCTGATAACAAATTACATAATATTGCTTTGTCTCCAAGAGAGCCTGTCTTCCATTACTTTTACACTTGTATGTGTATTTGCAGAATCAATGTCAGTAAAACATGTACCTTGAGTTGTATACGATAGGGGTTTCATTTTTGTGTGTGGGCATTAAGGTTAACACTCCGTCTATAGTTTCCAACTGTTATGTCGGAAAAGATATCGTCTGCAACAGGCAAAATTCTGATGCAACGGTGACAAAACATCTTGTGCAGGCGCAGTACGTTCTGCCAACATGCTCATAATCACTCACCTGGGTCAAACTGAGTCTGCTGGGCCCTCCCTGTGGTGAAGTCCTGCCCCTCCTCCGCTGTCAGACCTTTCACATGGACTCCTACAAACACAGACTGTTCCAGGTCACCTCGTCTTCTCAGAAGGATGGACACCGAACCCACATCCTCACACACTGAGTACTCAGGATGGACCATTTCAACTACAGACCATTTCAAGTCAAACCTGTAAGCAAAACAGAAAAATTAATTAGACCTCTGGTGATTTATTCCCTATGAAACTGGGCTAAAGTCAATACTTGTCTGTATTAGATGGTATCCACAGATAGTTATTGATGGGATATGACATACTCCTGAGGTATCTTTCTACTAAACAAACATAACGTGATATTTTAGTCAAATACCCATATAGCATTCTAGAGATGGATGAAGGACTCTGGCTGTTGCCGGATGCAAAATCTAATATACACTTGCCATAGATTTGTAGGCGAGTGTAAAAAAAATTACAAGATGAAAAAATAGATACCTTTGGTTCTTCAGTAAGTTTCCCTCAGTGTCTGACACAAAGAATAAAAAGCTGTCACTGGTCACATCTGCATCTTTGTTGAGGATGTACAGCACATCTCCATCACTGATGTCCTGTTGAGAGAACGATGCTGTGATGACAGAACCGTCTTTTCTCCTCTGCAGATGACCATGAAGGGGTAATCGTGTGATGGTGAAAACAAACTGTGAGGACTTTGAGTCTCCAACTTGTAGCACGTCATCTGTGAGCTGGAAGCCTGCACGGCCACCACTCATTCTCAGCAATGGAGAGGGAACAGCCTTTCTTACTAGCACCGGTTTCTTCCCGGTCAAATCCACTTCAATTTCGAAAAATACTGGCTCATCCAACAGCTTTCCTGTTACAAAGAAGCCTTTGTTTCTCCCATCTGTTGCAGTGAAAGAAAACCTGTCGATGCTTGCCTTTCCTCCACTGTGTCTGTAGGATACTTGTTGGGCATCTATGTCTTCTTGAGTGAATCTATCGCCTACGGGAGCTCCCCTGATCAGAAGCTGTCCGTATCTTGGACCCTGTATAAGGTTGAAGACTAGATTGTCGACTGGTGAATCCGGGTCTGTCAGTTGCAGGTCCTGTGAAGTTATAGTTACGACCTCTCCAACATGAGGCTTGATTCCCAAATTCTTAGCCAACGTAGGCGGTGTGTCATCCACTGCCGTGATGCTGACAGCAAGAGAGACGTTCTTCTGCTTCATGCCGTTAGTAACAGTGAACGTAACCAAGTCTGAAGACACGTCAGCCTTACTTGTGTGGGCATACACAACCCTGCGACCAAGCAAGTCTAACTGAGAGAATGAGTTGATGGCTACTCCAGGGGCATTGATATCTTCTATGTTCCCTTGGCTGGGTGGGTTTTGAACGGTGAAGATCAATTTTTCTACCTCATTCGTTCCATCTGTGGCCGACAAGACATCTGTACTCAGGACAATTCTACTACCCTCATTGAGGTGAACATCTCTACTGAGTACCTGTATTCCTGTCTTCTTCATCTTTTTGATGGTAATGATAAATTCTTGTGAAGGAGACACATTCACTCCATCAGTCACGTAGAAGTAAAACTGGTCCATTGCCTTGGACCCTGGACGGCCGGTATGTAGATACCTCACCATGTTCATGTCAACCTGCCACTGTGTGAAGTTCCTGTCTTCTTTTATATCTTTCCAACTTTCCGATGGCTCCCGCCTCAGCTGTAACACACCCCTTTTTGGGAGGGTAAGTGGAACGTACACAAGTTCCTTGGCACTGTTGTCTTTATCTTTGGACTGTAAAACAACACTAGACAAAATTTTGCTTTCTAACGGACCAATGATGAGGCCAGTGTTTCTGATCACTTCTGGTATTTCGTCATTGACTGACCTGATGTTGACTTTGACAGTCTTTTTCACAATGTGTTTTCCATCTGAAATAGCGACAGAGAAGTCGTCTTCGTTGGTTTCAGAGCTGTCATGGCTGTACACAAGCCTCATCCTGGTTTTCATCTCCCTCAAGGTCACACCCTGAAGGTCATTGCTGTGCCGCCTGTTCCTGCTATCAAACAGCTGTCCGTGCTGCGGAGGTTTGGTCACAGAGAATACAATATCGTCTGGTGGCAGATCTAAATCAGTAACATCCAGCATGGACAAGTCCAGTTCCATGGTATCTCCCTCTTTAATCTCGATGTCACGAGCAATCAAGTTTGGAACCTCGTCATTCATTGGTTGTATGGATATGGGGATGGTGACATTACTGGAATGGCGTCTTCCATCGGTAACACACACAGAGAATTGGTCCTGTGTCGGTTCTGTTCCAACATGGACCGACTGAACATATCTGATATGACCATCTTTTACATTTTTCAGCTGAAAGGATGATATGGGAATTCCGACATTGCCCTTTTCGTGACCAGGCATGGGTGCAGTGTTCTCCACGTATCCCCATGTTGGTTGTTGTGTGACGATGAACCCAAGATTACCTTCATCAGTATCCACATCATACGCAGTCAACATGTTGTCCAGAATAGGGGTTGATAGGCCTGTAGGAAATATTTGAACCATAATATAGTAGTATGTAATAGAATAGTTCCTGTAATATTATTACTAATAGTATTACCTAAGATGATGGCATCTCACTTCCTCAAGGTGCTTTTTTTTGCAATCTCTACTGTTCACTTGTCTTTTATCCCACTTGTATTTTATCCCACTTTTTTTTCAATTCAACCAAACTGTTGTCTTCAATTAAAAAAAGGGACTTAAACTACTGAATGAAATTGTTGTTTTTAATAGAATATAGAATACACAAGTACTGACAACTATACACGATTATTATTGAATCATTCCTGATTTCCTCAATTTACAAATATGCATCATAGGCCCTGTAATTCACACACATCATTCACGTACCTTCATTGACAATAACAGGACTGTCCAAGATCAACTCTGGTGGCTGGTTGTCCACTGGAGTGATAGTGATGTTCACATCGTGCACTGGTAGTGCGTTGCGGGGGAAAGGGTCGTCTGACACAACCAGCGTGAAAGAATCGTGCGCCGTCATCATCCCAACCTCAGCCTGAGTGTGAGAGTAGCTAATGGCGCCAGCGTGAATGTCTTTTTGGCGGAACTGCGTGACCACGACGCCGTCCCGGTACAGCATACCTCGGCGCGGCGGTTGTACTACAATGAAGGTCAACTGACTGTCGTCTGTGTCAGTATCTGTTGCTGACAGCACTTCTGGTGTGAGTACAACTGATCCTCCTTCAGGCACAGTCAAGTGTTGACGGAGACCGTCTAACATGACTGGTGCTTCATCATTCACGGCCTGAACCTCCACTGGTACATCCATGGTGACAGAGTTTACTCCATCACTGACTTTGAGTGAAAACTTGTCCCTTGTTACCTCAGAGCCATCATGGGCATAGCTGTAAAACAATAATATAAATACGTAGCTAGTTAATTAAAAAATTATACAGGTATTATGTAATCCAAGAACGTACCCCACAATGGTACACAGTCATATTACTTTTGGTTTTGCACCAAAATAACTACCTGTCACACATTCTGAACCTTCCCCAAAACACCAGCAGACCATGTCAATGCATGTACAATCTAACATAGAAAAATCAAACTTGCCATCCAACCCTATATAGAGAATGGGAATGTCAAATTTCAACATCATACCAGATGTAGTGCTACATGTAAATGTCTACTACTTACCTGATCTTGTAATGAACAAGATCTTGAAATGTGAACATGCCATCCACTGACAGGTCAACACCCTTCACTTGCAGGCTTCCATAATTTGGTTGGCTGCTCAAAATAAAAACAATGTCATTTACTGGAGTGTCGCTGTCAGTGACCATCAAGTTTTCCACAGTGATGACTACAGACTGCCCTTCCTTCACAGTCAGCGCATTGACCTGCACATCTGGTGCAACGTTGTCCACAGGCAAGATTGTGATATCAAACCTCTGCCCTGTAACTGTGTTTCCGGAGGGATCGCTTACTGAATAGATGAACTGCACCGTGCGAGGTTTTGGTCCGATGTCGTTCATCGGTGGTACGTAGGCGATCTTCATGTGGTCGATCTCGCTCTGATGGAACATTCGGACCGGGCGCACTGCGTCAGTTTTCTTCATCACTGGCATGCTTTCTGTCGAGACAACAGTGCCAGCATCGTCCAAACTTAGTGAGTCTACAAACAGACACATGGTAGTGATGGTGAACATAAGGTCGTCATCTTCAGATTCTTCATCTTGGTAAGCTAGATGTCTTTTAGACAGAACCCCAACGTCTGTTTCTTTGACCACGAGAGAGTTTGTCATCTCAGGCATCGGAGCGGGAGGCAGATCGTCAACCGGGATGACTTGGATCACAACCGACTGCGGTTCCGACTCGTTGGGCGGATCGCTGCTGTCACGAAGAACAAACTGAAAAGAGTCACTAAAGATTTCCTCCCCTGTGTGCTGGTAATATATACATCCATCAAAGAGATCCCTTTGTAAGAAAGAGTCGATCGGGTGACCGAGTGATTGCCATGAATATTTTTTCAAGATCAGCCCTGATACAGGTGGATGGGTAATACTGAACAGGATGTAGTCGTCACTCGAGTCCATGTCGGATGCAGTCAGCATGTCACCATCAATAGGGATCGTCTCTCCTTCCTTGAGATGGAAGATGACATTATTGATGAGGAAGGGAGGACTGTCGTCTTTAGGGAGGATACTGATCGGGAAGCTGGCTCGCACGCTGTGAGCTCCGTCAGTGATTCTCAACTGTATGTTATCCTTGTCAGAATCACTGTCATCATGCTGGTAGATTACACGTCCTTCCGCTATGTGGTACGGAGTGAACATAATTGCAGGGACGCCATCAACCAGCAGTCTTCCCTGTCTCAAACCACCTACAACAATAATCTGTACCCTCTCCAAGTTGTCATTATCGACCACCTGAAAATTGTGAGTCTCCATCGGTCTGGACTGCCCTTCTAGAAGGGTCAGCCCAGTGTTGATGGAAACCCGCGGCGCGTTAGTGTCCGACGTACGCACGGCCAGGAAAACCATGACCGGGTCGCTCGGAGTAAAGTGACTGTCGTAGATCGTAAATTCTACCTCGAACACCTTCCTTTCGTGATAGCTCGTGTTTGGTGGTTTGTAGCCAATCATGAGGTTGTTTACATCTGCTTGTGAGAAAGAGGTGATGGGTTTAGTGTGATCATCCAAGTGTACTATGTAACCTTCTCCTGCGGCAAGAGGCTTGCTGATGTTGAAGACAAGTTTGTCCGACTGAGTCTCCATGTCTTCCGCTGAAATTGTTGTGGGTGTTATTGTACTCAAAATGAACTGGTCAACATCTAGAATGTACATGGCACCGAAAGACCCTTTTGGAGGCGTATTAGGCATGCCTTCGATGATGTTGACAGGTAAATGTAATCTCTCGGTGTATCTCTCTTCCTCACCTTCGGGATCATATACATCAATAGTGATGGCAACAAAGTCCACGTCAGGGGAGGGGGGCAGCAAGTGTTCGTAACGCAGGCCTAACGTTAGCAACTTGTCACACTGCTCTCTCAGGTTCCGCACGTCTCTCCTGTCTTCCCCAACAACGAGTTGACCAAAGGCAGGGAGGGAACTTACTGGCACAGAGATGTGTGCTTCACACTTAGCACTGTTTGTTCTCCTGTATGTAAACTCTAAAATGTTGGAATTCAAAGGATCAGACAGGCCGAAAAATTCTGATACCGTCAAATTGCGTTTCACTTGTACGGCTCTATACTGTGATTCCAGTGTACGGATAGTAAGAATGAAGACTTCAGACACTGTTTTTGTTTGTGTGAAGAGATGTACACGTAGTTTGACCTGATCTTGGTGCAACAGTGGCGACCCATGATGGCTGTACTGTACAGAACCTGGTGGATACTGGCAGTCAAATACCTGCAGGCAAGAGGAAAGAAATCATTAAGACCAACACTCCTTCAAGTGCATTTTCACCAGTTACATGTAATAATTACTATATAAACATGTAATAATTACTATATAAACATGTAATATCCAATGTTCCAATAAGTCACTTAGAGGAACTGAACATTTACTTTGATCAACAATGATTTTCAGAGTCAATTTCTGGTCATGTTTTCACTTTTCATGTTTCAGAATCAATCCTACGATGGTATACTGTTATTTGTGAGGCAAAAATGTGATGTCATTGATGGTTAACAGTTGCTTGTTTTGTACCATAGGATGGTTCTTGACGTTTATGGGCGGTTCTCAAAAAATTAAGATATGCCTCACATAGTTTGTTTTGGGGCTATTTAGTATGCTTCAAGTATGAAATTATGCCAAAATTGTGCTAAGAAACAGCAGGAAATGTCAATATCAGACAGATTTCCTCATCCAGAACATTTGTTTTGTTTTGCCACCCTGAAATTGCATTACATGCATTTAAATCTGAGGTGATGTCAGCTGTGAACCTACCTGAGGCTGTAACACCCCAACCCGCTGGAACATGGGTTCATTCAGGACCACCTCCACTTTACAGGTGCTGTTATCAGCCGGGAGGTTGAAGACCACGTGTTCCTCTGACAGCGGCGCCGTCTGGCCAATCGGTACGTCCATGGGCTGGAGTGACTTGATGAGGCTTCCTGAGACGCCAGTCTGCACCAGGAGGTACAGCCACACCGCAAACATCCCCATCCTTCCTCCGGAGAGAAGCTGCTGACAGCCTCCTAAATCTAGCTACTCATATAAAAATTATTATTATAATTTTGGAATTGTGATTAGAAAATATGTAAATAATTCTGACTCTACATGTTCTGCGAGCACGTCCATTTTTCTCACGCCACAAACTTCAACAAATGCTACCTCAACCATAGTGTGAATTACTGCATACTAAAACGCTCCGCTCCAGAGGCGTCGCCAAAAAGTACAATTCTTGGTGCACTAAAGATTTTGTGGATTTATCCAGACAACTTGCAAAGAGATCCAGACAGTCGACCCTGCGATCAAGTACTATCATTATTGGAGAGCGATCAAGGGTCCCTTGAGTGCCGAAGATTATGTCAGAGGAATAATTACAGAGCAAAACTATGGCGAAACAGCAACGCAAAACTAGTTGGTAGAACTAAGTATGTGGAGGATTCTTGTATGTACCGTTACGCGTACATGTAAGGCTGCCGGGAGAGGTATCAACGTTACTATAGGAAAACTGCCGCTACCTACGTAACATCTGTAATATCAGATAACCTTGAAGTTAGCGTTACCCTGTCTACTAAGTCCTCAGGTTCACAATTTAGGATAATTTGTATTTGAACCTCCTTGTTATGGGTTGACAAGCGTCAAAGACGCGACCCTCATCAGTTAACGATACTTACAACATTAAGCGTCAATATCGTGTGTAGTTAGTTCGTATAAGAGATACATGTATCAGAATCAAAGTTACCTGCCAAGGCCGGCAAACTCCAGAGATCTGGCAAACTTGAAAACAATGGCCGCCCAACTCTCACACGGCGCAGTGCTGCATGCCAGGCACAGCTGTCAAACACGGGCTAACACCGCCCAGATACTGCCCAGCTGGCGGGCCTGAGCAACAACAAATAAAGCCCGCGAAAAAAAATATAGGAGTGTTTTCATGAACAATAGCACAGCATCGCCAGGTCGTCTTCGAGAAAGCTTGATTTTTGTGTGTCGTAGTAATTACCTCCATGAAAAATGGAGGTATTGTTTTTGGTGTGTCTGTCTGTGTGTCTGCCTGCGTGTCTGTCTGTGTGTTTGTGTTTCCGCACATTTGTAGCCAGCATATTACTTTTGAAGCTTTGGATGGATTGTAATGATATTTGGTATGTGGGTAGGTGTTGGGTAGGCAAAGGTCAGGGTCGATTTTGCGCCTCCTGGTGGCTGACCTTGGTACTGCAGCAGAACTTCCGGTTTTTGTATCTTTTGTCCTGGATATATGCTATGGTCTTGATTTTTGAGTGGTGGATAGCTTTTCCTGTCAGTAATGTTTGGTTCCCCTAGCAGCTTGTTCTGGAACTGCAGGGGGGTTTCTGGTGAAACCTTTCAAAGCAGATAAATTCACAAAGGAACAATGTAACTTTATGATTTTTGGTATGTGGGAAGCTTAGACAGAGATCTACATTATTGGATGCAAATTATGCAAATGATGACATCATTTGCATAATTAATGAGGACATTCTGTAATTCCAGTGTTTTACATCGTGGGGCTTTGATACATTTAATGTTTCTAATCTATGGCTATAAATATGGACCTAATTTGCATAATTGATCTGAAAATTCTATTACTCCTTAGTGGTATTATAAATGATGGAAATTTCAAACTTGGGACATGTTTAAGATAATCAAAGGTTAACATCACGATACATTTATGAGGTTAATGTAGAGGTCATTTGCATATCCTACGGTGCAAGGCAGTATCCATTGGTCAGGGGAGTGTCCATTTGCCACTACTTCGGGACAATGGATACTGCCTTGCCACCGTATGATCTACTTGGAGATGAAACCAAGCAGGTTTGACAAAGTAAGAATCCTGGACTCAGAACCGGATTTCTTTGCACAAGGGATTAAAGAGGCTATATACATCAGGGACAGGGCACACCAGTTAAAAAGGATAGGAAACCGGAAGTACAGATAAAGACAGTCGCTTGTAATGTAAGGATCCAGCCCACTCGCAGATTTGGGAATTGCCAAAATCAATGGGCTCGTAAGGGGTTTTCAACTTTTTACAGAATTTTTTCATATTATGACTTCGTAAATAAGTTTACAAGCGGAAAACATATTACCTTCATGAAAAATGGAGGTATTGTTTTTGGCATGTCTGTCTGTGTGTATGTTTGTGTTTGCGGCCAGCATAACTTTTGAACCTTTGTCTGCAGGATCAGTGGCTATAGCTTATATTTTGTCACCTCTCCTGGCCTTGGATATCCAGACACGACCCATCAACTGTCACTGTGATTCAAGGGTGACATAGGCAGAGGATTTTGGATAACCATCATTAACTTCTTAGTTCTAATAAACATCACCTATGTCTGACATGTGCATATTCGTCAAAGCTATATAAGTAAAAAATCACACAAATCCGTGGATACTACATCGACTTACACTGCCCATATATCTATGGCATCAATGTATTGTATTGTTATCATTTGTTGATGTAACATACTTTGTTGTTTGTTTTGCAGAGACTTTCATATCTAATCGTAACTACAAGCACACAGAAGAGCCAGACCACACTGAATGTAAGACTGTTGACCACTTTAATCTGCCCAAGTAACAAGAAGTCATTACTTACACAAGTGGCCAGGTGCAGCGTTATGACTACACCTGGAATGGGTGCCATAAACATTCTGCACTTATCTTGGCAACTGTCGGACACTTAAAACATTAAAAACTACTATTTCTAACTGTACATAACTATCAAAGTGACAACTTGTCAGATCTAGAACTAAGGTCGAATTTCATTTTCTAAACTGGAAGTTACCTTACACTATACTTTGCTATTGGAAGGAGATAGAAAGATCAGGAAAAGTGCTTAGTATATACAGTATGTGATGTGCAAAAAAAAAGGTTCTAGACAAAAGAACGGGAAGGGCCTAGAAGTACATATTTTCTGCAGCTATTTGTAAAATGCATATAACATCCATCAACACACCTGAAACGAACATCACGGCTAAACTTCATGGAAATAGCTTGTTATAATTCAATGTAACTTTTGCCCAACCTTAGTCACAGTAGTTTTAGTGCAAAGAAATATAATATCAAACAATTTACATAGTAAATAGACAGCATGGATAAGGAATGTGCCCTCATCATGCTGAGTCGACATAACAGGCCACTTTAAACGATGAGATGTTTCTCTGAGGGTACGTAGGTACTAGCTATGAGATGATGCTCAGGTGATGGGAGTTCATCAAAGCATGAAATCAGGATCACTGGAGTCACCCTCTTCATCATCATCATCACTGTCCACAGTCACCACCTGCGATATGTGGGTTAAGGAGATTTCCCCAAAAAAATTGTACCTATAAAACTAGAAAGGTTACCTTCACATTTGGTTTGCTCTATTAATTCTTACTCAAACGCATTCACATATATGGTGACAGGAGTCTAATAAATGTAATATAAAGGACCATTGCTGAAAAGGGATCAGAGAGTGACCACGGTCCAGTTTTCGCTCATGAAAGAGTTAATTTCTCACTGGTCGTATTCATCGTAACTAACAGAGAAGACAGACGCTGCGTACAGTATTTACATGCTCATTGTACTGGGGAAATTCTCCTAGCTCTTTTTGACAAGCACAGTAAACAGTGGACTATGGCTTAACATCCTGTTCTAAGGGCACGGTCACATTTCCAAGCCGGGGCCCGGCCGGGTTGTTAGCGTGAACGAAAAATTAACAATTTGTATTAACAGTATACACAAATAGTGCTCATGGTTACTTTTCCAAAACTTTTTGTGTGTTTTGCTGTCTTGTATCATAATTTTCGTTCCATACGACTGCCCGGCCGGCCCCCGGCTTGGGAAATGTGACCGCGCCATAAGGACTGCAACCTTTTATAGTACAATGTAGCTTGCATGTTGGGTGAGTAACAACAACCAGGATTCAAACTCCCAACCTCTTACTCCAGATGCAGGGTCGCTAACCACTGGACTACGCTATGAGAAAAGTGTTGTACCTAGAAGACATAACAGACGTCACAGAAGCAGTGGAATGGAAATTTCTTTACTAGTACCATTTCAAGTGGAATCATGTGAAGACAAAAGCACTTTAGCCTCAGCACAGATAAAAGGATACTCTTCTTCTCTTTCTTCTCTGTCGCCTCTTCGCAGGTTTGGGGGTTGGTTTTTCTTTAGGTGGCCTTCCTCGTCTTGACTTCAGGACTGATGAGGACTTCTCACTCACCACCTAATGTGAATAAAAAGTAGAATTAACAATGACTTTGTCCTAAAATAGTTGGTACATGCACTGCTAAAAAATCAAGAAATCTGTGGCTTCAATAAGTAGAGTACTCTACAACTAACACCCTTCTGTATGATTTGGAAATTCTGATTTTGGTGTGGGACACACTTCAAGCCAAATATTTCTACTGCAGTATCTCAAACATGTTCCTAAACTGGCATGAAAGTCTGTGTTGGTTAAACGTAGTTCTAATACAAAAACCCATACATTAATCAATCACAGCTCTTCCTGCTAGCTAGCTTACTGCAGTCAAATTTGTGAAGTTGTACGAAAACAGGAAACATAGCCACTGACACGAACACACACGAACACAGACACACCAACACATAAAACCTCAATTTGTATGGAGGTGAACATGATCATGGGTTAAAAATTGAGATTATTTTACTTGCAAAACCTTTAACAGATAGATTTGTCAGCTTGATGTTTACCTGTCCCTCAGATTTAGTGACTGATCCTTCCTTCCCTTCCTCCACTGTCTCCTGACCCTGGTCTCCGTCTGTCTCAGGTCCTGAAGAGAGAACAACATTAAATCAGAACAATCGATACATACCTCTCTCTCACCTCCTTCAAGTCACTACCAGTGTTCTAGCTTGTGTCTGCTTTTCTGTTAACGGAATTTTACTGCTATTACGGAAAAAAATTTTGCCCAATGCATAATATTTTCGGACAAAAACTGCAGTGTAAAGACATGGAAAGAGATGCCAGGTTGGCTATAGGAAAATTTTCTAAATGTTATTTACCTGACTGACGCTTCTTTGATTCCAGAGCTAAGAAGAGAGAAGTAGGAAGAGAAAATATGAGAAGTCAGTTGTAACAAACCAAAGCACAAGAAACAACTGTTGTGAAAGTACTGGGAGGGAAGAACAAGATAAAGAAGACAACAGACACATGCTGGAGCAAGGAGGCTACTAGAATCTGGATCAGAAAATCCCCACCACTCGTGAACAGTGATGCTTGGGACCACATCCTTATCCTTGTCACAATCATCCTGCCACAAAGTGTAGTACTAGTAGGGTTCATTCAGACCCTAAGCAATAAAATGTAGCTGGGAAATTACTAAAATGTAAACTAGGTAAGTACCATGTAGGAATGGACTGAACTTTGAAAAAAAACTAAAAATTTTCTGGGAAAAAAACAAAAACAAAAACAGACTTACATAAAAAGAATTACTGTTAGTAACACGTATGTTCACGGTTTTCGCAGTCGCTTCTGTACCACAAACTTATCATTACCGTCAATGAATAATTTCTTTCTTTCTGCACTTGCTGCCACCTTGAACATACAGTTCCGTGAACACCTCCATTTTCCTCAGACCGTAAACTTTTGCCGGTTAATTGCTACTATGAATATAAAGTAAATTCTTACAGCTACCTTTGTCATTGGTTGAGTTGGTATCTTTTGTAGGAGTTATCTTGGTTCGGGACAGTGAGGTCGACTCTCTCTCTGGTGTATCATCATCATCCTCTGCGGGATCTAGGCGCAACATCAGCTGCTTAAACTGAAGAAAAAAATTAAAATTTCATTATAAAATTTCACACTGTCGGGTAAATAGATTGTGCTTATGATGTGATATCAGGAGTTGGATTCTGGTGTTCAAGGTATCTGTACTAAGCACACAAACAACATGCTACTCATACTTCACAATTTAAGTACCCTGCACCAGGTTTTCCACTTAACGATTTGTGTGAGACAAAGAGGTCCCGGGTTCGAGTCCTGGCACCGATCTTGTACCCTTGGGAAAGGCACTTTACATGACTTTCCCCACTTAACTCAAGTGAAAATTAGTATTATCTGTCCGGTATTTGTTTCTATGTGTGGGACACAACAGCAGCAACAGCTGCCTGTGTCCCACGTGTATTGTACTGTTGCAATTTAAATAAATCATGTCAAATCAACCAAAGAACTTACATCTAAGTAGTGTTCAATCAGCTGTCGTCTGGCCTCCTCATCCTCGGCAAAGTCAGGTGTCTCCGCACACATGTAGTCCAGAACTGACTGGGGACTGAACTTGGGGAGGGACCTGCGGTTCAACGACTTGTCGTACACCTTTGCTGCTTCCGTGGGAGAATATCGGTGACACTTGCTGCAATAGAGAAAAGAGAGAACCATCATGGTTAAATGTGCAAAATGCGTTAAATGTACCACTGACAATGAACAAGATAAAACATATTACACAAGTAGATTGTTACTCAAGCAACCGGATAAAGTTTGTAAGTCTAGAATGATTTGTTTTGTATTATGTCTGAGCCAACACATACCTGACAACACATAATACATTTTACAAAGAAACATAAAACAGTAACTTTTTCTGTCAATTTCTGTCAAAGTACATGTAAGGTTACTCTGACTGCTGAAAGGCAGTGAAGTGTTAAGTGAGGTACTGAATGTCTGTGTTTCCTAAATATGACCAATAAACTATGGGAACTACATGTACATGTACATCTGAAGCCTCTACAAATACATACCTGTCGGTAAATCCATACAAGTCTTTCAGGTACTGCTTGAGCATCAGAAGCAGAATACATCCGTGGGCCTGGATACAGCAGTCCAGCAGGGCTTTGGGGTCTGATGGAAACTGGGCTGTTGTGGTCATATGCAACAAAAAAAAAAATGTTTATTGCCGGTACTGATTTAGTACACAAACATGTACAATGTTGAGTCTCAAAATATATGGTATACAAGCTCTGAAAGTACATTTCCAAAATTTTTAGGGATCGGACAGTGAAAATTTCACCTAGTAGCTGGTCTTCGTCCAAGTCATCATCATCCACCAATTCCACGACAGGAGACCCTTCCTCGTCATCACCACCTTCCTTTTGTTCTGTTGTCTTCTTACTGGGATGTAGAGCCTACAAACACACACACACAGTCAATCGCCTTTTAAAAACACATCACATGAACAGCATATATGTGGGTGTAACAATATCTCATCATAGTTGTAGAGTTTGAGCTTAATTCCAACACAAGAACTCAGGGAACTCACCTCCTTCACACCCCTAACAAAGGACATGGAGAAGGACTACTTTGTGACGGGTGTGAAGGAGGCAATTTACATCAGGGCCCATCAACCCTCTCTGAACCGTAACAGTGGTAGAGTGGTCTTCCCACTATTTTTGATTCACTCCTGACGTAAACGAGCTTCCGACTTCTAACAACATTTGTATTTCTGACCTATTTCTGACATCAAAGAAAGGAACCTACCTCACGGAAAGACTGCAGAACGTTAGCCCCTGTGACTGACAAGATGATGTCGATATGGTGTATAAGGAACAGCGGCTCGTCTTGTGTTGCGAACGGGAAGCAAGCTAGGTTGTCTGCTACATACAGGAGGACATCAAGCTGGCACTGAGGAGGGAGGAGAGACAGAAATCATCACTTCCTAAGCACATTGTATGTGTAAAATTAGAGTTCAACCACCTCATACCTTTGCCAAATGATGTTCCCCTTTGAGAATAACGTATCATGAAGATTTCTTATTGATTATTCAAATACGGTAAACATTGGTAAACTTATACTAATCAGGAGACATTTGCATAATTTATGAAGAAATGCTACAATAGCCTTCTTAGTTAAGACAAGCTCCTTGGTTTAGACAAGACTGTCATTAGGCAACTGTAATAATTTATGAATGAGAATCATTTATAACCCATCAAAGGAAGGTAGGAGGTTGTGGAAATTTAGTTTTTAAGTCTGTCCAAGTTCAACAACAAAATCTGACTACCTGGTCATATTTCTTCACACTTTCAAAGTTCACTGTTGCCATACACTGAACCATGTACAACTTCTCTACTTCTAAAGTTCGTTCATTCATTCATTCATGACATTTTGGCCAAACCTTCCTGACAACCTTGTACTCAATGTGAAAAAAACTCACCGTCTCATCATCAAACAGCTTGAGTAGGGATAGAAGCAGGGCCCTCCGGTGTTGTCGGTTGCAGCGCACCAGGGAGTACAGATGTGAGCACAAGGCTGCCGGAGCTCGGTTCTCATCTTCCCGCATTCCTCGTACTATAGTGTCTCCATTCTGTAAATCAACACAACACACTTATTATTATCATTACGAACATCAAGTCCTACAGCCTTACCTCAGGTATGACAGCAAAAAGAGAATCTGGCACACAGAGTAACTCAAGTATCATGAGCTATTGACCAGTCACTCTAGAAGCCATGTGACAAGTCTCACCAGGTCAGTCTACTGTACTAAATTGTACCTTTTTGTGTTGCAACAAAAGTTTTACCTTCAAACATAGTAACTTCAAAATGTAGTCTGATGAACATCTGAAAAAGACTATAACTGCTGACCTTCTGTGCTATCTGCTGCAACTTGAAGGACATCTTTATTCCAGCCAGTGCCTTCATCTGTGACATAGAACAAGAAACTGTCAGTATGTCATGTCATGTCTCACACATCCACAGTGGTGCCCTCTCCCCTATGAATATGATTAAGACAACTACATGGAACAGTGACATTTTCACCTTGACAGAGTTGAATAAATACTAATAAAACCTGGTAGAGTTGAGTGCAGTGATGCTCACAAGCAAAGGATACGAGACTGGATCGAACTGTTGCATGTACGTATCCTTACATATGGAACCACTTTCCTTTACAATACTAGTGTTACTTGGAGTGGAGCAAGGGGCCAGTACCTGGCCTGTGCATATAGGCAGGTAGGCAGGCAGGACAGTGAATAAATCATCTAGAATACACTTAACAAAAAGTTCTGGGGCACAAAATAACTGTCTGTAATACAACAGGACAGTGAAACTTACATGAATGAATCCTGTGTACTTGTGGTCGATCTCACTCAGCTGCTGGTCAGCTTTGTTCCTCACCATCACCTCCTCATCTGTGCCCATAGCAACCAGGTACGGAACACACTGCAAAATGCAAAGAATAGCGTTTCAAAGGGTCAAGGTTTCAAACTTTTCACTAGGGAGCTCCCTAGGATCCGGCACTTGACACAATGTTACCTCAAACAAAATTGAGATGACAGAAAACATTTCAGACTGGCTAGAACATTGGAAGATAATGTTACCTGTACAGGATGTACCAAGCCTTGTTTCAGCACGAGGACTATGACATGTAGGGCGGCCATGCGCACTGAGGTCTGCGAGTGGAAAAATGTCTCCATCACGTGCTTCAGGTAGATCTGCATGATACTGCTGCCCATCCTGGAAAGAATAGGGAAATCAGTAAAAACTCATCTATATAAGCTTATGATTTACAACAAAAAACCTTCTTTTGAGGTAGCACCTTAAAGGGGCATTGTGTAACATTTTTGTACCAAAATTCAAATCTTTTAATTGAAAAAATCAATCATGCAATTGTCATTCACTTAAACTTTTCAGCACCATATTTGTGCAATTATCTCACATTCTGACATTTCTTGTTCATGCTAGACAGCCAACAAGAGGCAAACTTGATTAGTGGTGTCAACACAAACTATCAGAATGTAAACAAACATGGCTAACAACTGTAACGTTATGTTGTTTCAGCTTTATGACAATATTAAACAAATCAAGGCATTACCCTGAACTGATGTCTCCCATTTCTTTCAGATCCTCTTGCTTAGCATTCTTGCTCCCTGAAAAACACAAACAAGTTACTGTTAAGATTTTGAAGGGTCAAATGGAAAGAACAGTAGACACAGACATAGTGGAAGGTACTAATACATTGTACTACCTTATTGCTGTTTCTGTATTCAAGGATGTTGTCTCTTCAGTCTTCTAAAATTTGTATCTGTCAAGTACTACTGTCCATGTGCAATAGGAAAAAACATTTTCCCTCACCAGCCTTTGTTTCAATCCAACAGCAACATGTGGGTATATCTATACACGAGTTTGACCATACAATTCTAGTAGAGTTGAACATGTAGTTTACAGTATAGAGACTGTACTTACATTCAGCGTCTGCCACCCTGAGCTTGGCATCTTCTTCTGTTAGGTAGTTCTGCAGGTTTCTCAGAACCTAATATATGTGATTGAAGCAAATGAGGATCTTATTTCAAGAGAAGAGAAACCTTCAAAATTCTTTGATTGAAAAGGTTCAGTCATTATTTGGAAAAGGTAAGAGGACATGGAACTATTTTTATTCTTGTAGCTACTTACCTGGCACTTAAGTTTAACAGATGACTCTTCCATAAGAAACCTGTGATACATCTTTGTCATCTGACTGCCCATCATCAGGTCTGGGTGCTGAATGGCAAGGAAGCCTGGAAAGGTAGACCAAAAACATTAATGCTTTAGAACCTGTAGCAGGGCTAGAAATACTGTGTGCATATGCACGTCAGTGCAGGTAAAACTGGGGCTGTACAGGTTTTTCTGCACCTAACCTGCACTGGTCCATGTACTAGGTCTATACATACATGATCTTTACTTGCTGCATTGGCTGTTACCCTCTATGAAGTATAAAAGAAATAAGTCTACATGCAAATTTATCAGCAATGAATATATAAATCATAATTTTTCCATGTTGACTAGAGGTTTCAAATAAAGGTAAAATTAACACATTTAAAGTGCTTGTTTTTCATGGCCTCCCCATAGGTTCCATTGGAAATATCATTTGCATGTCCCTCCCTTGTACCAAATAATGTAACTGCCAACACATTAAGTGTAGAACTTTGGTTAAAGTTTCACCTATTCCTGTCAGGGCCTTGTGCTGCACTGCCTCATCAGGATGGTCCATAAAGTACATCAGTACCTCAAACACTTTGTCCTTGATGCAGACCTGCAAGTTCAAACAACAAAATTATTAACATGGAAGTTCATCTGTGTTGGTAGTAATCATAGTAAGATGCTTAACTTAATTCATATCTGTAAAGTCTCCTGTGAATACAGTAAGTTCACGTGTCTGTAACTCTCATGGATTTACATTCAGAAGTGACACAAAATCAACCCAATTGTCAACAACAACCTAGCATGTCGGCAGAGCGTACTGCACCTGAGCATTAGAATTTTGCCTGTTGCAGAGGATATCTTCTCCGACACAACGTTTGGAAACTATCCTTATATATGGAGTGTTATCCTTATATGCACATATACGACCTTATATGAGACGTTCTGCCAAAGTGCTCCCCAACCTCAATATATATGAGAGTGCTTAAGGTACACTTTATTTCTAACATACCTTTGTCTGTCCTTTCATCTTGCGATCGAAGTCGAAATGTTTACAGAGCAGTCCGACAGTGAAGAGAGATCTGAGCAGTGTGGGGCGGTTCTGCTGCAGGGCCTGGCTCTCAGGGTCTGCACTGTGCTCCTGCTTCAACTTACCCAACACTCCTGTAGAAAAGATAGTACATCATCAAAATACAAGATAGTATATCACGGTTTAAAATACCCACTGCTGCACTCTTAGTCCAAGTCATTTTGTGTGAGAGTTGAGTGCAACTTATCATATTTTTGAGGCATACAAAGCAACCTTTTTGAAGAAGTTTACAGTGGTCCAGATTACAGCTTTCGAAATAAACTGTGCCCCTCCTCGGCCAACAAGTGAACTATGCTATATTAGATGTCCTGGCTTACAGCTTGCCCTTCTAAAATAACCGGCATTCCTTTTGGCTTAGCCTGTGAATAAAAAGTATTTCGAACCCTAATTTATTGTAATATATCTATTTACAACAACCATTCAGCTTTGGGCACTGAAAGCAAAATGTAACAGGCTGCAGAATAAAAGTTTCTTTTAGCAAAGTTCTACTTGTGTACGTGTACAAAATGTAGACATGTCCAGTCTCTAAAGGTGAAGTACGGTAGTATAAAATGTCTCGCAACTGCAAAATTTCTCACCAAAATACTTCTGGAAGCAGTCCCATACCAGCTTGATGTTATGGGTCACACTGTTGACCACAGCTGCAAGGCAACTTACACATGCCTGGAGAATCTGCAACAAAAATGCAACAATTTTGTCTCTTTCTAAAAAAAGGACTTAGAATACAATCATGCACAACTGGAAACAATGAAACAAGAGCTAAATGCATGTATAAAAAAGATTCTTAACTTACCATCATGCCATGTTTTATGATGAGCTTCATGAGGTCCTCTTCCAGAGAGGCCAGGAAGACTTCGCTGGGGTGCTCCATGAGTGGAACCACGAGTTGGAGAATCCTAGCTACGTTATGGAGCACCAGGTAGTCTCCCTGGGTCTGTGGAAACACACAACGGCATGAACTTCAGTTACAATTGTCTTACACCTATTTCTATTATGGACAACAGTTCATTCCTAAATTCTGCAGACAAAATTAGGAATAAGAAAAACATTTTGTGTTTCTGGTTTCCTGATCTAACCATAGCAAAAAATTACCAACACTAGCCCTTTTGAACTTTCATTGAAATATGTTACTAACAGTAATCTTCAGATCACTTCAGCCAAATCTAAAAACAAAAGCTTAACAGAGAATCCCTACTGAAGAAGGACTGTAATTGGAAACAAAACATTTGCAAATTTTATAGCAACAAGCAGTTGTTCTTTCCAGCTCACTACACTTCTATACATGCACAACATTTGCCTTATTTTTGTCACAAAATATATAAGCGCCTTGTGATCTGAATGCTGTAACCTGTCTATTGAGACTACCAGTATCCGTCTATAGCAATCACTCTTGCTTCAGGTTTGACTACAAATGCAAAGTAATAAAGTAGGGAAAGTATTACATACACTACACTGCGTGGACAGGTATGGCTGTAGAGTCATGGCATGATCAACAAGCAACTCGGGCCGAACTTTACTGAACAGGTACAGGGTCTGCAGGGAGGAGACAAGTCGGTGGCTGCTTGTCCTGCTCTCTACTGTCTCTGCAGGGAAAAGAAACAAAAGTTATGTTGTGTGAAATGGATTATACAGAAATGTTAAATTGCAGCACGTTTTCCTGTAGAAGTACAGTTGTTTTGTGCTAGATTCACTAGTGTTGCTCTACATGTACATGCCTAAAATCAAGAAAATCTGTTGTTCCTAATTGGCCTAATCTCTTTGAAAATTTTTACCAAGAATGCTCTCGTACAAAGAAATGCAGTACCAGAACAAGCTGCTAGAGGGCTAAAATCGGCATTACTCTTAAATAATTAAAGGCTCTCTGCCCCCCAAAAATCAAGACCATAGCCTGTGTAAGACAAACGGTACAAAAGAGTATATCATGTATAACTTATAAAAGAATTACCGAAAGAGAAAATGCTGGCAATGCACAGGTAGATGACCGTAGATATCACTAACCTGCAGTCTTTTCCTCCAGACTGAGGACATTCTGCACCAGACAGTTGGTGATCTGTACACACGCCTTGCTGGCAGGCTTGTAGGAGGCATTCTCTTCTGCCTTTAACAGCTGCAAAGAAGGGGAACAGAACAATCAAGAGGCTGAATCACTCCCCCAGTATTTATCCAGTAGTACAGTTTGATAAGTCTTTGAACCCTGAAGCTGTTGTGAATTGAAAAGCTCAAAGCTACATTGATACATGTTGTACATTTGTACTTACATTAGTCAGTAACTGTTCAAACCAGTCGTATCCCGTTTCCTTGCAGGCATCAACCTGTGAAGATAGCATAAGTCATCAAAATACTGTGATAGTGTGATTCCTGATTTTTTTCAGTCCTCACTTCTGTACTCATAGCATGCATCCTGAATAAAATACAAAAAGCCTTGAATACATGTACAATAGTTGCAGAACATTTTTTTTCAAACAAGCCGATTCAAACACAGTCTTGTACCTGAACCTTTATGACATTGTATTTGTTATGTGATATTAAATTTTCATCACGACAACTGTGTAATTACGAATTATATTAAAAGTAATAAAAACTCAAATGATTAGAAAATCTGGAAAAAGTTCTTCTCCTTACCACATCAGTGATGTTGATGACCTTCCGAAAAAGGCTTTCCTCATCAGATGACTTTACAGGCGAGAACCACATTTGCTGAAAGACGTCATTCACCAGTTTCTGCAAGTAAAGCACAAGTTGCCTTTTTAGTTATAAGACGGAGTCTCTTACAGTTGAGTTCTACAATGTATTTCATTGGATAGTTGTGACATGTGACTAGTCTCACTGGGTCAGTCTACTGAGGAAGACCAGAGTGATTGGTCGAAAGTAAAGGTGAGGACAATCTCTTGTCAAAAGTTACAACTTTAAACAATGTAGTACACAATGTGTTATGTGAATTGAATCTTGGAAAAGCAGAACTCTACCTTGATGCCCTCTTCATCGTTCACTCTTCGTATCATCTTGACACACATCTCTGTGACCTTGGTGAACTTGGGAACCTCCAGACAGATGTCCCTCAGGATCTTGATGACTCTTTTGCGAACACTGATACCTGTGTCCTGAGGAAGAATTCAAGAATAAAAGATACTTCAATACATCTACTTCAGCGAGACAAAAACAAAATTATCATATAGCAAGATCTGTACTGGTAATACATTATGCCACCTTACATTGCTTAAATTATTTGTTGTTAGGACAAAAGTACAAAGACAAGTAGAGGCTGACTTACCAGTATTCTCTCAATGATCATGTCGTAGTACTGGGGAATAAGCTCCGTCCTCAGCAGTACAAACTTGCCAACCAGCTCCAACGCTGCCTCCCGTACAGAAGTGGACTGGTCCATGAATCGTCCATGCACACCTTTCTGCATGTCAGCCTAAAATTCAAGCATTGTTATCAAAATTAGTTAAGTAAGTAACCAGAAATGGTTAGAAGCTTCTGTAAATAATTTGATCAGGTTGGTGAGGTACTAAGACTACAGTTACTAAGACTGCGAAATGTATTAAAAAATTTGTCCCGCAGAAACAATAGTAAGTACTTTCCCCGCACCAAAATAGTAGCAAGGTTCTGCAAGAATATAGAATAATTACCCGAGCTAAGATACCGGGATCCACTGCCACAACTGCAGTCAAGCACTTCATGGCACGAGTCCGGACAGCGATCGCATTCTCACTCAGCACTCGTAGAATCTGTAATCAACAGGATGATACCATAATCAAGAAATTGAACATTAAATTCCAGCAGTCTGACTTCAAACTGCATTCTGAAAATAGGAGGATTTACTGGGTTACTTACATTTGTTCAATCACATTTCTGACAGTATATGCTAGGGGTAATACAAATCTCGTGCGTTCTAGAAATTCTTACCTGCTGCAAGTAGATGTCAAAGCTTTGAGAGAAGGGTCTTTGTGATGCCAGGTAACGTGCAATCAAACACGCATTCTCATAGCTCAGGTTGCTATGCTTGGTCCTAGAGAAATAAAAATCACAACAAATGTGAACAGTACAATATAAAAATGGTACACATTCGTGTACTATGCTTCAATTCAAAGCGAGACTTTCAGAGCTCGAAATATTCGCCTCTGCAGAAAATTTTACTTGATTATACTTTGTAAAATACAGACTACTTGTAAATTTGCAAAGAAATAACAACTGAAACAATTGAAAATCTTTACACAACTTTCAGAATCAGTAGGTCTTAATGATTTACCTTAGGGTTCCCAGTGGTCCATGGCTGGCCTGGACCATTGTTAACAGGAACTTTTTCCTCATGTCTGCAGCCTGCATCACATCGACAGTGGACACAGGCTCGTCCTTTTTGTCATCTTCATCCTCGTCATCATCATCCTCATTGTCGGAGTCATCTTCCGCGCGTTTGGACTTCTTCCCTTTCATGGACCTCTCAATCTGGGCTGTGGAGTCCCTGTACCATTGTGCGATGTAGAACTGCCGCGCAAACTGCAACCAAGGAGGACAAGTAAAATTAATGCATGTGATAATGTACGGTAAATCACTTTATATTCTCGGTATGAAAATGTATTTATGGTCTGAGAAAAATGGACATGTTTGCGGAACTATATGTTCATGGTGGCGGCAGGTGCAGAAGAGAGAAAGTCGGTGAATAATTTGTTCGTGGTAATGATAAATTCACGGTACAGAAGTGACTGCGAAAACTACAGATATAAAAGTACAGTGAATATAGTGATTCACAGTAAAATTAACAAATTAACTTCATCAAAGAATAAGAATGCCTTACATTCTCTCTGAAAATGTGCATTCACCAAATTTCCATGAATAATTACAAGAAATTTGTGTTGTTTACTCACATGAAGAGCTGGATCTGTGTCGGAATTCTCTGCCAAGTAGTCTAACATGGCTCTCTGGAATGTTTGTGTTTGGTCACCATCAGGAAACTGGAGGAATGTAACAGTGTTTAAGAATAAGTTCATGACAACAAAACACATTCTGACTAATAGGTAACAAGTTCGAGCAAGAAGTTACAGCAAGAAGTCTACAGTACTGCTGTTGTCTTGTGCAACAGACAAACACAAAGCCTGACCACTTGCATGACCTGTCAGGATTTAACTCTGGTCAAATACTCATCAGTTTCTGACTAAACTCTAACTGGTCTATGACTGGCTAAAATCTTAGCTAGTCAAACTTCTGGCCATAACGACCACACATTTCTGACAGTTTTCAAGTCTATCCAGTTGCTTGAGAACTTGTGTATCTCATTACCTGGATGTCTAACCTTTATCGACACAAGTAGGCTCATCGTTTACAAAGATCAAATTAAGGCAACTACTTACTGCAGGACTTGTTGACTCGTCTTTTTCAGGCTGTACTGACTCATCTTCAGATATTGAGTTTATCTGGGTAAAATTCACAAACATACAACACGTAAGCAACAAAACCAAATGTTAACACATGCAGTAACATGAGAATGTATTATGAAAACATGAACCTTCTCCAAAATACTGAGACACTGGAAAAAAAGAAAACCTAGCTTTGGTTTTGTTCTCTTTTTAGTCCCAAAATCTACATGTAACTTTCCTCACACAAATGATTTGATTTGAAAAAAAGATCTGCTTTCCACTCAAGTGTTAAAATCAAATCTTCAACAGTTTATAAGAAGAATCTAACACTGAGTATATTTGTTACCATGTAGAATCATCACACACACCTCATCCATGACGGCATCTAGAGTGTCTTGATCCAGCTCACTGGACACAGCATCCTTCCTCAGCCGTGCAGCTACCATGCCCAGGTAGTCCAGAGATGACACACGCAGAGACATTTCCGTAGAACGATTGCTGAAGTGGTGAACCTGATATGGAAAGTAACAGAAGTTCCATTGAATTATTTCATTTGATGCATGAATTGAATGCATGTGAGTCTGAACTCAATGTTAAGCTGATGGCTTACTCAACAAAAAGAGGTTGTCATATTGTGGTCAGGGAGATTTTGCAAATTTTGCATTTTCAAACTTTAAAAATGCAATTCCCACAATTTGAGAGGCAAATCACAAAAAGGTCCCTCACCAGCAGTCTTCCCAGAAGGCTGAGTAACAGTTCTGCTGCTGGCCATTCAGGCTTGTTCACGGTGGCCAGGAGGTCTTGAACAAAGTTTTCAAACAGAGGGCGGTAGTCTTCCTCTTCTTTACTGGTGCACCTGAAACATCCAAAAAGAATCCAAACTGTTAATTACAGTATAGATAGCCGATGTAAGCCAATGACATATGTACTATTATTATCTTTATACAGCATATTTCAGTCTATCTCCCTTATAAAAAAGACTGTTCCAAACTCCCACCTGTACAAAAGTAGAACATTCCAAAACTTGATTAAAATATACATATTAAGGAATGAATGCATATAGCTAGACTACAGCAACTGAAGTACTTTGTTAATGACAAAAAAATGGTACTTAAACAAAAAGAAAGGTACAGCTCATTACTGTATATATACTGAATTACTGATCAATAATAATTGTTTGATATTGGTGATATGGACTTACTTCTTGAGAAAAATAGAGAGAAAGTTTTGTGCAGTTCTCATTGCAGTCTCATAGGAAGAAGCAATCAAGACGTCATCATCCATTTTGGAGTCTTTTGACTTCTTGTCCTCTTTTGTCTTCTCTTCTTTGTCCCTGTCCGAGTCGGCGGGTTCAGGTTCAGGCAGTGTCACCACACACTGGATCAGAGACAGCACTAGGGCTGTCACCATCTGGATATTGTCTTCTGAGTTTAGTCTGGGTAAAACATGTGGAAAATTCTATCAACAAATTACCTTACGATCATCCTCTAACTATGTGTACAACACATGGAAATTGTAAAGGCACATTCAACACGTCTGACAAACAAAAAGGCTTGATTGTGGAACTGCTTACAGACGCATACTTTTTTTCTTTCGAGAAGCAAACAATACATGTAATTATTGTGACAAAATACTCCTATGCATGAACGCTTTCAGACTTCTGTCAACATTTCAGTAATAGAATAAAATAAGTTTTGACATAAGGCAAGTTTGAAGAAGGTGTACTGGATTTAACAGGGTTTAACTCAATACCTGTAACTGCGAAGGTTCCTCTTGCTTGATGGCAATTTTGCGAGGGATGCAAATATGTCCTCCAGTATGAGCTGACGGTGCTTCTCATAGCGGGAAAACACCTAGAAATAGAGTGCTGTTAATACTAGTTGTACTTGAGTATGTACAAATAAACTGTTAAATGAAATAAATCTTACCACATCTGATCAGTAAGGCCTGGTAAATGTTGTGTTTGAGGGTTAGAAATTCAGATGCCAGATCAAAAATTTCATGGCCTTATTCCATAGATACAACAAAAAGCCTAGAGCCTACATACTACACGTGTGCATACCACAAAAGATAGAACAGATTGTGCAAAGGCAAAGCTTTGTATACATTGACACTACTATGACTGAAGAGATCTACAACAATGGTAAAGAAAAATCACTTACAGACATGACCAGCTTCAGTGCGCTGAGCTGCAACTCGCTGACATTCTCAACAAAGAACGGAGTTGTCGCCAAACTTGACACCTTTAAACAAGAAAATATTTCAGACATAAACTTCTTGAACTTGAGATTACAGTACATGTACTTCATGTACATTATGCATTTGTAACAAATACATCTTTGTACTGATAAAAATAGCACTGTTAACTAAAAAACTCTCTCTGGTACTTTTTATACCCTTCAGTGAGATAAATTTACAATGAACTTTTACGTACCTGCAGAATGACAGTGTCTGTCATCATCTCCACCTCTAAAAGCTCGGCCAGCAGTGACACGATTTCGCACAGCTTGTTGTACAGCGACACGACTGACTTGTGGCGGGCTCCCTTGTGGTGAGCACGCTTCATCCGACTGTTCCACACTATCCCGTCTGTCAACACATGGAAAATATTTCTTACTATTTAATTATTTCTCACAATGACAGAGAAAATGTAATACTAATAGCTAACCTTCTCTATACTAGAGAGTCCAAACTTTCTTTCAACACAAAAAAAATTTGCACATCATTTACCAGATACCTTTGACCCGATGTTGTTGTACTTCAGAGAAGCCATGTGACAAGCCTCACTGGGCCAGTCTATTGATGAGGACCAGAGTGACTGGTCGAAAGCTCTAGGTGAGAACATTTACTTTTGTGTTGGAACGAAAGTTTTACCTTTAAACATGTAACAACCAACACAGATGAACTTTTAAATTTAATGATAAGATAATTTGAATTCCCCTTATTTCATACCTTTGTTGTCAGGTGTCCTGTAGACTGGATCAAACTCAGGGTAGATGGTGTTCTGGAGATGGTACTTCGCATACATGACAAGCCGCTCTATAGTGTCTTCAATGAATACCTGTTGAGAGATAATGTAATTAAGAAAACTTAAGAAATCAAAGGTGTCAGAGTATGGAGAGGAAGATATGAAAAGAGTGTGCTCAGCAGCAAATGTCGCTGTTTCTAGTGAATGTTACTTGCACCAAGCAGTAGAAAAAAAAAGTCAAGCCCTATCTAACAGATGTTGAATTGTCCTAAGGTTCAAAACAGTCCATTTACATGTATGAAGTCAAGCATACATGTTTGAATAAAATTTGTCCTACCTGCTTGGGCATTTTAGTTGAAGTGGTGATGAAGAGAGCTGTGAGGCAGGAGTCAGCAGACCTCATGACACGTTCAAACGTCAGTTCTCTCCACAGACGCTGCTCTTCTTCTCCATCAGCCTCCTGTACAAAAATAATTCATCAGGTTGGTACAACGTCGCAGAACACAGTATTAATGGGCGAACCCTGTAGTCAATAGTAGTTCGGGCACAAAGTTGTTCCGCCGCTCAGAACCTTTCAGTGTGCCACTAGGTTCTCTTCCAGTTCTCATCAATACACCGTCAACATACCTGTCTCCAAGTCATTTTACAACAACAGCTTCTTTCCTCGGACTGCAAAGTTATAGAACTCTCTTCCAACTTTTGCTTTCCGTCCGATTACAATCCACAAAGCTTCAAAACAAAGGTTCACCACCATCTCCTGACATAACTACATTATACTCACTTAAGGACCTCTAGCTCTATGCCTAGAAGTGGCCAAAAATAACTAGCCTTGCATTGAGCGACACCGTTAAAGAAAAAAAAAGTAGTGGGGTATAGTACTTGAGAAAGTTGCAGAGATACACAACAGTGGGGTGAAAACTGTGATGAATTATAGAGGAATGCATCAGGTTTGAGGCCGTGTAACTTGAATTACGATGTTTGTCCGGCCGGGATAGTCTGACGCTTTGAAAACTTGAATAAAGAAAAATGACAGCTAGTTCATTCTGAAACACCAGTGCCACTTATCAACTTATAAACATTTATACACTATACATTATATACTATGAACTGTGCAATAATTTACCTGAACAAGTAGTGGTTGCAGTTTAGCTCCATCACGGATGTTTCTCTCCAGAATGTTCATGAGCCGTACTAGACGTTCTGCTGCCACCTGGTTCATGACTCCCATGGACTTCAGCTTGGCGGCTTCTCCGCACAGCTCTGATAGAACAGCCTTGGGGATCAGACTGTCGGCTGGGATTTCATCATCATCATCATCTGCAACACAGTTCAATCCTTCAGCCAAGTCTGTGGCTACATATGTACATGTATGTAACACCTATTTGTATGTACATAACATCACACAACAACAGTGTTCTATCCACCATCCATCTTTCTGTTATTTGATGGAATTTTGCTGCTCATGACAGACTTTGCCCTATTCGGAAGTATTCCATCATCTCTGAGTAGATCTTTGTAAAGATATAGAAATAGATGCAGCTAAACTTTGTCCCATAAAATGCAAGGAACAGCGTTGCAGAGGGTCAAAATTTTCCCTGGACCCCCTAGGATTGTCATGCTCAACAATATGTTACATCAGACAAGATTGAAATGACAGAAAGAAATTTCAAGCTGGCTAGAACACTGTACATCAGACATAAATCAGATAACAGCCCTATTGGAATCCAACATGGATACATGCAACCAATAAAATGTAATGATTTACCTAGCATTGTATCTGACAATATATCTGACAAAAACTCTGGTCAGTCTATCTATATTTGTTTGTTTGTTTGTTTATTGGTTCGCATATAATTAATAACAATAAAATGAAAATGTTACTGACAATAAAATAAAATGCTGGGGAAAGATATGAAGCCATAGTGGCTTGTCTGGGATCTTCCCCGACAAAATTAATTAACAACTGAAATAATGCTAACAAATCAAATGTTAATAATAAATAACAATAGGTAATTAATAAATTTGATCAATATGATCAAAATGATAATAGTAACAAAACAAATAGTAACATGAATAACAAAAGTGATTGATAAATAACGCTAATTAGAAATGATATGTTAAAAACTATAACTTTAACGTTAACAGAACTTTAACTGCAATACAGACATTGGCAGAATTGAAGCAATAACTCAGGAAAATAAATGAATTTTAAAGAGAAACGGAGATTCAAACTTATACAGATGAAATCAAAGTAATAAGAAATCAAATGTCGGTGGAAAAGAAAAGTAGGTGATTTTTAAGATTTCGTTTAAAGCTAATTATTGATGTTAAACATTTTAGGTGGAGCGGGAGATTATTCCAAGTAGTTATACATTTATATTTTACACTCATTTGGGCTACGGACG